TTGTATTCCAAACGCCTTCTTAAGTGAATTTGTATCACATGAGCCTCATCAAAGGACCTTGGTAGAGATGTCACAATATAAAGGCAATCTAGGTATTATGAGGCGTTCTTCTTAACAATCGTATTTTTGCAAGTAGCACAAAAATTATAATTTCCATCTTCCGAAGGATATTTTTGCATTAAAAGAAGGCGTATGCAGGATTCGGGTGACCTTGCGCACAAGTTTCGGAATTTTATTTGCGAACTTGGTATGAAAACCATAATCCGCCGCAGCAAATTTATATTGCAGTAGGGCCTTTATTTATATTTTGGAAATAAATGTTTTTGAAATTGCCACTATTAATCAGTTTCTATAACATAATATCTTCTTTCGTTAATCGCATACGTTGGGACTGCCTTTCGTTTCCAATTTGCCTACTGACCTCTATAAAGGCGAACCTGACTTTGTCTAAGACGTCTCTGATTCAAAATTTCTTCCCTCATACCCCTCCTACTAAGCTCTCGACTTGTGTTTCTCTATCACGCTCCTCTCTCCTTACTTCAGGATTTCTTCTTGCATGTTCTCTTTGCATTTGATCACCTAGTGTTCTTACTTTGCTCATCATAACGTACCTCGGGATTTTCTCGACGAGATCTATGACCGCGAGCATTTTTTGTTTGCTCTTCAGAGTGTATTTGTGGATCTTGCCGCCTTGTTCTATGTTGAACAGTTTTAACAAGTTGCTCAACAGATCGAACTTCGGGCGCTTCGCACCAAGATCTATGACCTCGATTATTTCTTATTTGCTCTTCAGAGCGAATTTTTGGATCTTACCGCCTTGTTCTATGTTGAACAGTATTTACAACTTCCTTAACATATCGAACCTCGAGATTTTCACGCCGAAATCTATGTCCCTGAGTATTTCTGCTTTGCTCTTCAGAGCGGATTTGGGGACTTAGACGACTTGCCCAATGTTGAACAGTATTTAAATTTTGTTCAAAAGACCGTACCTCGAGATTTTCCCGCCTGGTTCTATGTTGATTTGTATTGATTATTTGTTCGGAAAGACGTACATCATAATCTAACCTACGATTAGCGTGACTTACAGTATTTTGTGACTGCTCACTATCACTATATAAAGATTTTGCACGAAGAACTCTCATACGTCTTCGATTCTGAAGACGACTTTTCTACTTAACCTAGGCATAATTAATTAATAATAAATGGCTTATTATATAAAATATTTGTACAAGTAGATAATACTTATATAATTCAGTTCGTCCGGGTGTGAAAAGTTGGATCCTAAGTGCTGCTCGCTTTCACTGTAGTACAGTCCTTGCTATGACTCCTTTCCTGTTCGGTGTATAGGTACTATGGTATACTGGTGCACATATGTATATGTGTTTGCTCGCCACTGTATATAATTATAGTTTAAGCACTATATAACTAATACACAAAAATTAGTTTAAATAAAGCACTTTATGGTCAAGAAATCTAGTGTAACTGAAACTACAAACACAGTGTACTGATATTTATTATACTCTTGCAACATGTAGCTACAGAGTATAATAGTTTTGTTATGGTATATTTTTGTACACACAGCTTACGTACTTTTGTATACCTATATACTACATAGATACTCACAAACATAATAAAACATTACATTTAGTTATATTTATATTTTAGAAATTAGTAATTTATTTAAGTGCTCGGAAACCCCCTGCGTAAATTGCTTTTGTCTAACGCTTTTTAAAACAGGGGTTTCAATGGTACCTATTTTAATGGCCTGCCCATGAAGGCTTAATTTACAATAACTTACATATGTTATAATTAAATACGGTATACATATATGCAGAGCAGGTATGGAGATTTTCTTCTTTCTGTCTTAATACCTAAACCTTTCATAAGCTGCCAACAGTTCGCAGTTTATCTATTACCACATAAAAACGGTCTTTAGACCTTGTATGTATCCCCGATAATGGGTACTAAGGCTGAACGGAGAATTTTGTACTCTTGCAATTCGCAAGAACCAAAGGCCAGGAAATTCCTTTAGGTGTGGCAAAACCTTATATTAACAAATGTTGAGAAAGAATTAAACATCCATTATTAAATAAAATCGTGATTAAACTAGAATCAAATTTGGCATTTTCTTGACTTATATTAAAGGCCATAAACTTAGTCGCAGTTTTATTGCTATATTTTAGTTCGCGTCAGCGAAAACTATATTAAAAAAAACAAAAACATCTTGAAGTGAGATATACACAAGTATGAATGTGATATTAACTCGACCAAAGTGGCTAAATTTTATATTATAGGCTTGTTCCGGTTTAAAGTCAGGTAGAAAAACGGAAATCATATATATATTGGGGATAGAGAAAGATATTATTTTTAACCCTGCTCAACTATACTTGAGTATAGAGAATATATTTTGAATCAATTTTATATATTTATAAAAAAGTAATGAAGTTCTAAGTTCGGGTGTAACCGAACATTTTATAGTCTCGCAACTTGCAGGGATCAAAGCCCGGGAAATTACTGCAGGTGTTGGCAAAATTTTATATTGGAAGAAGTATTGATCGGATTAAACCAATTTTTGACACAAAGACATACATACATTTATATATTTAATATACGAATTTGAGTTATATGTCTTACACATTAACCGATATTTTCGGTAAAAAGTCATCTATAGGCACTGGGGTCCACATATTAAGTACCTAGGGGCTTGAACAGTTTTGGTTCGATTTAGACAATTTTTAGTCACAAGGTGGCACACTTTAAACGCATTATTCGCGATATGGGTAGACCCCAATACAATAATTGTTGCTTGATTTGCATAGCGGAAAGTGAAAGAAACAGATAGAATTTAAAATGGTGTTATATGGGAAATAGGCGGGGTTTAAATCCGATTTCGCTCATTTTCGCACTATAACTTAAAAATAAAATAAAAGAGGAATATTATGTGCCGAGTTTGGTTGAAATTGGTTAAGCAGATCCCAGGATGTGTGGTTTCACCTAAAAGTGGGCCGATTTCACCTATTTTCACATTGTTGATAGAGGTGCTAAAAACATTTGTTATCAGTGAATTTTGTTATTATAGTTTGAGCGGTTTAGGAGATATGCACATTAAATCTATTAGGGACGGGACAACGCCCACTTTTGAAAGAAATTTAAACTGCAAATACCCCTCCTAAACGTGATCGTGTACACCAAAAAACAGGTTTGTATGTTTTTGTGGAGCTTATTATGGCAATTTATTTTTTTTTGAATAATGGCGATTTGTGGGCGTGGCAGCCCATCTCTTTCATCATTACGAGCGTCTGCAATACGAACCGTCTTACGGTACCAAGAAACATGTGTACCAAGTTTCATAAAGATATCGCAATTTTTACTCAAGTTACAGCTTGCACGGACGGACGGAGGAACAGACAGTTACCTGGATTTCAACTCATCTCTTCATCCTGATCATATATATATACATAACCCTATATGTAACTCGATTAGTTTTAGGTGATACAAACAACTGTTAGGTGAACAAAACTATTATACTCTATAGCAACATGTTGCGAGAGAATAAAAATTGTGTTGTATAGGAAGTTGCCGTGGTTGCAAGCCGATTTCGCCCATTATCACACTGTAACGTAACGTAAAGATGTCAGGATAATGTTTAGTTGAAATTGAGCGATTCATTTGCGAGATATAGGATTTCACCTAAAAGTGGGCAGTGCTACGCCCTATGTAATTTTTACACTGATAGGAAGTCCTTCGTATAATTTTTGTTGTGAAATTGAATGTTAATAGCGTATTTATTTAGTCATTTATCGCGCATTTAGAAGTAGAAACATAATCGGTGTACTCGAATGAGAGGTGGAGGTGGTTATCATCAGATTTCAACCATCTGATGAGGTGCCGAAAGGATTTGTTAGTTTAATTGATGTTATTTTAGTTTTTTTTTTAACAAATGTACATTAAATCAGTTAGAAGCCGGATCCACAAGCCAAATTGCAGTTTTGTGTCATAATTTGAACCTTACTCATAGCATTTTATGACGATGTCTCCATTTTAACTAAACAGTCACTCGGAATTTAGCTCGTCTTGCCATCCTGATCATTTATATATCACATTTTTTGTTCATTTCTGGACATATTTATTACAAATAACTCTCCAGAATACATTAGAGAATTAATTTCGTTGTTGTATTATATATTTGGATAAAATTCTCTGTGCTGTATTCATATATACTTACCTATTTGATTATTTTTTCGATCTCCATTTCCTTGCTTTGAAATTACTATGCAATATTTTGTAAATTATTAGAAACTCAATAAATTGTTTGTTGATATATCTGAAATATTTTAGAGTTACTCATACCATAGTTACAATTAAATATGTTTTTATTAATATTATATGTTCATATTTATTATTATTACCTATGATATCATACATAAAATTTCATTTGTGATTATCTAGTATTAATTCAATTGTAATACAATAATATTTTTTGTCATTCTATACTAAAATTAAGTTATGTTTGTAAATAAAGTTTATCAATTTTTTATTTGCAATACTTATTTTGCTACACTTATATACTTGTAATTAAATGCATATCGATATAGATTAACTTGGCTGTAACTTATCACAGCTTACACTGAACTGTTTAAGCTTTTATTTTTAAAGTAAATCTTTTTTAAAACAAAATAAAATCATTGTGGTGACTATCTGTTGAGTTCTGTTCTGATAAATAAACATATGAAGCAAAAACAAGGATCTCAACAAATTTGATTATGTTCGGTACAAATTTAATTTTTATCTATGAGAGCTCCTCGTTGTATCTGCAATAATGCCTTTCAAGACTTCTTCTCATACGCGTAACAAGTTGCAAATGGACGAAGAAGAAGACAATCCTTGCAAAAAATTATGACAGCAATCTGTAAGAATTCAATTAGCTTGGAAACGGTCGGTCTAATTTTGTAGCCTTCTGGGTACAATAAGCATCCTGAACTTATCCTGGACTTGTCGAATTTTTAATTTTATGCTAAGATGTAATGCACTCCAATGCAATAAAATGTGTGTTATACTATTAAAGAAAATCCGTCTCCCACAAACTTTAGTTAAAACTCTTCAATAGCTCGAGGGATCTCAGAGTGATAGATATAAGAAAATTGTTTTGGCTCGAACGTATTCTATGTTATTGCAAAATGCTATATCTATGTTACCGAATTGGCTTTGGATATTCGTTTATATTCTACCTATGTGTTGGAATTATTATACTCTTATAAAACATTTTGCTCACAGTGCTTTACCGAAAACAATAAAGAATTGGTTAGGAATAGTAATCAAATGGTTTTTATTAACATTTTGGTGATATTTTTTCTGCTAAGCTTAAAAACTCCAGCACAAACTGCCATAAAATTGATTTTGTGTTTCATTTTCTATGCTTAATTTCTAATATTTAATTAAAAGTTCTGTATGTGTTTATAATCAATTTAGCTGAGTCGATTTATTTATGTACGTCTGTCCGTCACCGATATCAGATTAGGATATAGCTGTAAACAGACTGAAATAAGAAGGGTATTGTAGCTTCAGTGCAGCCGAAGTTAAAGTTTTTGCTGTTTTTATTATTACATTTTCATTATCATATAGATGTATCTTATCATTACGTAAAACTAATTCCAAAATACAATCGAAAGCGTTATACGCACTTTTAGATATCTTTGCTGTAATGCGAAGTTGAAAAACTCGTACCCCGCACTTACGTATATAACTGCGCACAGGTAAAAAAACACACTTGCAATAACAGTGCATAAAAGTGTAAATCACAAACATATTTTATGAATTTTTTCTGCGAAGTGTGGCTATGTGTGTGTACATATCGTTGTTATTTGTAAATATACAAGTATAGTTGCTATGGCCAATTCAATGAGTGCTGCCACACGACATGCACACCTACATAGATAAGTATATGTTTACTTCGTAGGCCCACGTACCTTGTTAATGAATAGATTTTCACCACTTCACAATATCAAAATTTTAGAAGCAAAAACCCGGAAGCCAACACATCAGAGGAGACAATGATTGCGAATATTTTTATTCCAGCGTAGTCCGTAAGCAATTAAATTTTATTATTCGTTCCGAGTAACGATAGGCAAGTGTTTGTTGAATGTCGAGATCTAAATTTCAGTTCATTCAGAAGGAAGCAGTATCATTTTCTTGTTTTATTAATGCTGATATGATTCTGATTCTAAAATGAATCAAATATGACAAATGCACTGGAAAGAGAGCTAAGATCATGTAGTTAATAGCTCAGGTGTTTAAAGTTCCAAGACTATCAATTCCATTGATAGCCTAGAGGGAACATTAAATAAAATTTATCAATCTTGCAGTAGCTTAACTTTAAGAATTCCGCAAAGTTTCCGCTACATCTGGCATCAATAAGGAAGTTATTAAGCTTCAAGTGTAGGGGGAAGATTATATTGAGACTCCCAGGAGGAATAACTTCATCTTGAACGGAGTCTATTTTGTGTACCATAAGTTAATTTTATAACTGTGGCTTTAAGTTTATGAACAAGAATTTGTCTAAGTCCATTCGTGTGCATTAAAAAATTACTGATTAAAGGGAACTATATTATGTTGTCCTGCAGGATGCTCAACTGCAATATATTTACATACTTAAATACTTATCTGTGAGTGGAAATAGCATTCTACGAGCTTGTATGCTATATGGTAAATAAAATCAATTTGTCACATTTGGTTTAGTTAAAATTGATACTTGGTATAGGTCCTTGTTTGTGAGCGTGTATAAATGCATTTGTTGCCTTTGAGAGTTGATCGTTAGTTGATTTGTTGTAGTCAGTTTGCTTTATTTCTTCATTTTTCAGCGCGCGAGTATTTAAAATGCAATAGTTACTTTGATTAGGCACTCACTAGCTCAGCAGTGTACTTATATCAATGCGGTTGCATATGTGAATATTCATGGGAATAGTCTCCAATAAATATTAAACATGTATAGTATATTCCAGGCGCTCCTGCTCCTTTTTCTCATGGTATCTGTTGGACAAACGGAGGATGGAGATAAATAAGTAAAGAAAATAGTCGAGTGTTTGTAAGTGTGTAATTAGGAGGAGTAATGGACTACTAATATACCCCTTTTCTATTCACTTAAAAAAAATTGCTTTAACTCTATATGGACCAGGACAGATTAGAGCACGAGTGTGAACATGCCCTCTGCCTGATAGTGGTTTTGGGGTTAAAACCTCCACATTACATTGCTAACCTTAGAAATGAAGTAATAAAAGGCGATTCTTATTGGTGGAGAATTCTCCACAAGGAACATTGGTTTCACGTTCAATGTAATGGATATATTTTAATAATATTACTTCTAAATAGTAAATAAATATTTAAACTATGCTTGGTTCCAGAGTAACAATTCTCCTCTTGCCACACTTATTCGTCGTAGGACAGACGCGCATATACATATCAATTGTTTACGAAAATTTAATGAGGTTTGCGTAAATAATTCTTACCTTGCTAGCAGTGAAGTCAATTCCTCTCGATCCATCTTGGCCAATTGTCCGTCGGTGTTTTCCATAACACGTTGCACTTCCAAGTCCAGTGCACGTTGCTCGCGATCGCATTCAGCTTCGCTGAATTCACGCGAATCAGTAAAACCCGACGGTGGACGAAAACCCAGGTCTCCCGCAGCCACAGCGGCTATGGTGGCCGTAAAGGAGGTACCCATATCCGAGTTAACCTCACTGTCTACACTGTGGAAAGCGATGAAAAAACACGAAACATTTTAAAATTAAATGCAGCAATATTATAAACGCTTTGATGTACATAAGTATTTTTAAATAAATATAAGTAAGCATGAGTAATATAGAATAATATTTAAAGAGCGACTAGTTGCAGTTCTCACGGTTTACATACTCGTATTCGGATTCCTTTGAAAACTTGACAGATTTTGGCTTTAAATATACCTATATCTTCGAAACGAGTTTTTTTTAATATAATAGGCAAATAGTAACTTGAAGAATAAAGAGAAATAACATCAAGTAAGGATGATCTGAGGTCGGGTGTAATCAAACATTTTATACTTGTAATTTTCAATGGTCAAAGCCGGCATGTTTTCAGGTATTTACCAAAATTTAATTACTATTATATATATTTCTAAATAAAATACGGGACAGACTTCAGAAATCCCGTATTCAAAAAAGGTTGCATGGTGCGCAAATAAGTATCAAACGTGATTGGATTACTGTAGTGTTTACCGTTGAGTCAACTTTTGTATCGTTCAACCCCTTGAGACGTGTTTGTCTAAGAAAACGATAAACATTTATTCAAAGTAGTGCAAGCACTCCCAAAATATGCATGTTTATGGATATTTCTTTGCTGATCGATTTCGAGTTTTGAGTGGCTTCACAGAAAACCTGAACGCCATCAGAACGATAAAATGGAATAAAAATAATTTACTGGAGTCAGCTGCAATCCTTAACGTCAAAAATAACGGAATGGATACTGCAAGAAGACAATGATCCTAAACATACGAGCAGACTCTGTTCTCAATGGAAACAAGCAAACCATTTTGTTGCTTTAGATTGGTCATCACAGTCAACAGACGCCAATCCAATAGAGAATCTTTAATAAAAGCATTGATATCAGGAAAACTTTTAACGTTAACAAACCATTTCATTTGGCTACTCCAACATACCTAGATGTCGCTTCCTGTGGAATATGCAGAAAATTAGGTTGAAAGTTGCCATCTAAGATGTCCGGCTATAATAGACAACGAGGGAGATTGGAGTAAGTATTGATTTAACGCAGCTAAGACCAAACAACGTATTTTCTATAATTACAACATGTTTCCCAAAAAACGCTACCTACACTTTGGAAAACGGAAACGTTATTTTTTAAACACACTGTATATGGAGTATCAATAGGTTCCACGCATTTTCACACTGTCGGAGGAAATGCAAAGAGTACTTGCCCTCACAAATTTGGTTGATATGCAATAACTTTAGTGGTTTGGCGATAAATGCATTTAATCTATAAGGAGGCGGCCACGCCCACTTTTCAATAAATTCCCAACAATAGACGCTCTTCTTTACTACGTTTCGCTATACCAAATTACAGTTTTTTACCTTAATTTGCGGCATAGTTACAGAAGAAAACTTTTTTCTGTAGAAACGTGTCTGGACGTGTGTGAAATTTCAAATCGATATCTAAAACTGAAGGACTAGTTTTTGTATATACTGACAGATGGACGGACGGACCGACAGACAGTCGGGTATTGTAAAATCGACTCAGCTCTTCTCACTGATTATTTATACATTGTACAAGTATATTATATATAATATATTTTAAATTGTCTCCGAAGGTTCCTTCTGAGTGTTATAAACTTCGTGGCAATATTAACTTAATATACTCTGTTCATGCTACAAAAATAATAAATAATCGTCTTGTTATCTAAAGTTTATGTAAAAGTATACATGTAAGTACATCTAAGATAGTTATAGTATAGTAGTTTAAACCGTATATTTATACTCATATATCTGGTTTTAAAAAATGACAATTAAAATACTTCACTTATTACTGAAAATACTTTAGTCCAAATCATTGACTAAGAAGTAGGCGCCACTGTTAAGAAAAAAAGTGAACAAAAAATAAGAAGTAAATTTCAAATATTATATTACACTGAGTAACTTGTTTCGCATCTGGTTGAAAATAATTTCACAAGTGTTGTTTTGACTTTTTTTCGCAAAACATAATACTGCAATGTACATACCAACATATGTATGTATTTCATTACTCTAGTCTCTAACGTGTATTTGATACCCTGTCTAATTTGTTATCAATTCAAATCAATTTTCTTTGGTGGTGTTTGGGGTTTAGGTACCTGAACTACCTGTTGTTACTTCCAGGGCCTATTCTCCGGTCCAGCGTTTGATGCTCTTTTCCTTGCTGTTGTAATTGCAGTTGTTGCTGTTGTTTCCTACTACGATGTCCACGTTTGTCACTCTCTCCACTCCCAATTCCACCTCCAGCAATTCCTGCGCCATCAAGCACCTCGCCCAGTTGCCGCCGTCCACTTATTCGTCGGTCCACCGGTGAGGACTGTTCATTGTTGGATTCCGTGCTCGAGTCTGGTCGAAACATATCTGCAAAATTGTATAAATAGCAAGCGACAGGCTTATTAGCATGCGCGCCACGCCCATACGCACCTGCAGCTACGCGCCTATCGCTGCTGCGCATCGACTTACAAGGAACTCTATATGTTGGCATATTGGAAAACTCAGTACTGGGACTTATACTCGTATCGGACTCCGATTCACAGTGTGCGCCAGCCACTACTCCACCAGAATCGCCTACAACTCCACTACCGCTACCACCTCCACCACCACTACTGCTGCTGGCGCTCTTGCTACCGCGTCCGCTCTTCTTCGAATACCCCGATTGTGACCCAGCCACCATGGTCATCGATTTGCTAAGTGTAGATTCATCTAAAATACCGATTGAACAAAATAAAGAGTATACGAAAGGGAATAAATGTAAACAGTTTTCATGGGTAAATAAATATGTCTTAATTTATATGGTAGAGTAGTTTACCGTCCGTGTTGAAGTAGCGCTGCTTGTGCCAGCTAGACTTGGACTTGACATGCCCGAATCCGCCGCTGCCCGGTATCAAAGGATAAGCTGTAGCATTGAGATTGTCGCCCTCTGGATGCCCGAAAGTTTTAAATTGCATGGTGTAATCCATTGGGGAGGCGGAAACACCATCGCGAGGTGGTGCTTTCGAAGAAGAGCCTGCACCCGTGCCCGTCCGTCCACCATTCACGCTGAATGTAGCATAAGGCGAAATCTCATACATTTCTACATTAAATACCCACAACAAGAAAATAATTCAGCAAATGATGAAGTTATCTAATTACTGCCATTCGTCTACTCGTCCGAAAAGATTTGCTTTGTTAGTGTTCCTCATACACATTGACCGCAAATCATCTCGCTACCTCACTTACCTGATTCGTTTCCTTTATCTACAGTTTTCACTGGAGAAGCGCTGTACACCTGCTGATTGCGTCGATTGTCATGGTCTTCCTTGTAATCACCGGGTAGTGTACGCGACTCGTAGCCATCGGCCATGGGGCCGCACAGAGTGCGACGATGCTTAATTGTTAAAGCACTGTGACAGAGCAACATGGAAAAGGGAGCAAGTGAAACGGAAAGAATCAGGTAGGTAAAGAGAAATAATGATAAAGAATTGTTCGAGAGAATGTTGAGTGTGTTCCTCGAGTGCAATAAAGTTCAAATGAAATACGTGATTTCGTCGTTGTGCCAATTAAATTGTTTTTCTCACTGTCTACCAGCTTAGAAAAAATGTTGGTCTATTAACACGCAATCTTCGCTGATAACAAATGTGTTTGATTGCGAAAGTAACAGTAACATCAACTACTTCTGAACATTTTCTTCTAACTCAAAAGTTTAATTGAATATAAACAAGTAGCATTTAGTTAATATTTAAAATGTCTAGGCTGTTAAGCAGGTTTTATGTTTATTGCAATACAATAAAAAATGGCAATAAATTTGTATTATATGGACTGAAAAATATTTTGCCTAACAATTTATCTTAATTTTGATCTCGGCTTCTAATCGGTCCAATAATGTACATTAATATTGTTACCGATTGTATTGCCATATTCGAGGTAGTCGATAGCATTAATTCCTTGTTAGTGCCAACAAATACACTCTAGGAACCCGGTAGGTCGACTTTTGTATTTTTAGGCGTTTATTTTGACTTTCACCGCAACAATCATTCAGCGGACTGCCGATTGGACTCAGGTATTATATTACATATTATCATGATGTACCAATATTTTATCCCTTGCCCAAATCGGTGCAGAAACGTGTACTTCTTGTATTCGTGTCAGATTGTACTATGAAAGTCGAACACGATTGTTTTTTTGATCGATGTTTAAGGAACGCTTTTTTTTTGTAAAACTTCGTAATTTATATGATAATATGTTCAAGGAATTCCTTTAAGACGCCAATTCTGTTGGTATGTAATTATTTTCAAATATAGAAAAAAACCATTCACTTCTGAAAAGTATTTTAAAATAATTGTGGAAGTAAACGTAAATAACTCACTGAAAAAATATTTTTATAGAGCCCTTACTAATTAAAACTGACAGCGATTGAATTTTCGATGTGCTTTATGCATTTCATGACGAGCCTGTCGGCGTAGAAGCCGCACAGCGCAGATGCCATAAGTACAAAAGAGTAGTTTTGCTGGCGACTCTAGACTTCCGATACGTCTTCAACAGCGCTAGATAGGCGGACATGATCGACGCTCTCAAAAAAAAACTTTAAAATCCCCAACTACCTCAGAGCTGTGGAGTGGAGCTACCTCAGCAATAGAACACTGCTGTACCAAACTAGAGAGGTATCACGACAGATAGGGGTTACGTCAGGAGCTGCAAAAAAAAAACTGGGGCTAAACCATACTTGTGGAACATCAGCTACGATGCCATACATAAATGGACGACATTGCTGCAGTAATTACATGAGACATAGAAGATGCGCGAAGAAAGCTAAACCAGGTCATGATGCGGACGCAAGCATGGCTCGACTTACAAAACATCCAGCTCACTACGGAGAAAACAGAGCTACTATTGCTAAGAAATAAGCACATACCTCCCAAAATAAGTATGCAAACGACTATGGATACTCTAAGGACACAAAAAGCGGTGAACTACTTAACCGTAAGATTGGACCCCAGATTAAGCTTCTGGGAACAAATCCAGCACGCCGCAGGAAAGGCAGCGAAAATCACCTCCCAACTCAGCAGACTAATGGCCAACATAGGGGGGTCCAGCCAAGAAAAGAGAAAGCTTCTAATGTCCACGACCATCAGCGTCCTATTATATGGAGCAGAGATTTGGGTAGATGTGTTAAAAAAGGACAACCGGCGTAAGGTATTGGCAAGAGTACACCACACTGCAGCCCTCAAAGTTGCATCAGCTTACCGAACAGTGTCAGGTGATGCAATATTTTAAAAAGCTGAGGGAGCTAAAGAAAATGTCTGAATACAACAAGAGCGCATTAGACCAAATTAAGAAAGATACAGCGACAGATGGACGGCCAGACTTATAAGAGACCTAAACGATGCGACTGCAGACGACGCTGAACACATATTCCTTAAACGTGAGCAATGGAAAATGGAACAAACCGCCGTAGAAGACCAGGTCGGTCCAATAAACGCGAACAACTTAATCAGCGTCATGATGGAGAGCGAAGCTAACTCGGCTATTATACAGAAATTCGCAGAAACTTTGCTATGCAGCAAAAAGCGGTACCTGGACGCAGGTGAGCAGATGTAAATCTCTCAATGAGGAAAATGGAATCACTGATGATGCGGCAGGCATTTTTCACCCCCTGACCCGCAAAAAAAAAACCTGTCGGCGGCAAGACTAGAAGTGTGAGCTTGTAGCGAGCTCTCAGCCACGCTTTTTCACATTTCCGTGCACCTCAAAACTTCATATTTATTGCACTCTTCCGTTATTTTGAGTTTTACTTTTAATTTATAGTACTTACATGGTAATGATAGCCACGGTGATGATAACGATGACGATCAATGTTGAAAACCAATCACCGTTGGTGGGATTTGTTGCATTTATCAGATTGTTCATCAAATCATTTTCCGATGGGAAAACCTGTGGCGGTGGTATTGTCACTCCATCCAGACTCGTTGTTGCAAAATGATAGTGTTCAGTGGTTTTACCAGCATCATTTGTGGCCGAAACGCGCAGTTGATACCACTTGGCTGGCAGGAAATCGCAAAATATTAAATTTTCGCGATTCTCTTCGGCATTCGAGATGTCGGATGTGACGACCGTCCAACGGATGTCCCCTGTGTACAAATTTTAAATGGAAATGTTGATTGCTTGCGGTGCAACGCAAAGCGCTAGGGTTGACGTTAAGGACGCACAACACATATTACATACACATACACTCGGATCAAAGCATATGAGGAGCGAGAGTGCTGCGATGAGGTGAAATAAGGTAAATGCAATGCACCAAAAGCACAGCGGTATGTACTTATATATAGGTGCAAATAAGTAGTTATGTACGAATACATGGAACTTGATAACTGAGTAAGTATGACAGTAATGCAGTGCGATTTCTAAATACATTTGCTGTCACAGCTCTAAATACAATATAGTAGCAAATATTGTTGCAGTGCTCTTGCATAGGTTCATAAAAATACATTTACTCACTTCTATGTATGTGTGCGTACATGTAACAGTAACACCTCTGTAATCTCGCCAAACTAGCCAGGAAATATATCAGTTAGCATCTGTAACTTTGTAAATAAGCTGGAACTAGTCTGGCTCATAAATAATTTAAATTGTATTAATTATTGGACAACTGATAAATAAATATAATACACAAGTGTTTACTATATAATAATAATGCTATATATAAAGTTTATTGTTTTACAATATAAAGCAAAAAACGGAAATTTGATTCATAATTATATTCGTGTATTTTTTGAATTAGTATGAGACTGGCATATTTTGTACCAAAATCTAACAGAACACGAGATGTCAGGAATTCAGTTGACTAACAAGTTGCCCTTGCGGCATACACTAGTTGCAAAGTGGTTTATAACTAGTTAGTTGGATTGCAACTGTTCCTCCAAATTGACAACTTAATAATGAGGCTGATTGAATTATTGATTGAGTTGCATTTTCTCTCGGTTCACTAGGCCAGTATATGAAGTATAAATGACTGCCATTTATTGATTGGCATCAATTTTGTTAATATTGCAATTTATGAGCTTCGCTTTTACTTCTCTGACATATTACTGCCAATATGTTACGAAAACCCGAAATTTCATTAGAAGTTCAAAACCTAATAAACAGCCAGCTTGTGGAAAAGTTACAATAGTTCTCTAATTTTTCATAATACTAAATATATTGTACTACTATACTTTAATGCTGAAATTTTATGAAACCGGTTCACGCATTATCCCAGTTCACATATAAAATATTACATATTATACATATATTGATAACCGTGACTCTAGCAGGCTCGTTATGCGAAAATGGCACAAACCATCCCACACTTTCCTCACAATAATACAAATATTTTTCGATCAATATTACTGTCAGCTTATAAAGAGTGATCTATTTCGAGGTTCTCTACTTTTTTGAAGGAAAAAACACAGACAATTGAAATTTTATAGAGAATGTTTATTATCATTCGAAAGAACGTTCTTTAACATTTACTTTTTTAAGATTATCTCTTTCAAATGTTGGCCGCGGCTACGTCTGGATGGATCATCCGTTGAGTTCTTTTTTCGATGACTCGTTCGAGCATTTACGACTGGTAACTGGTGAATGACACGCGTGATGTTTTGCTTAAAGGCCTGAATCGAAGCGAGATTGTGCGCATAGACTTTAGACTTTATATATTCCCAAACCGAATGTCGCCGAGATCACGAGCTTCAATTTCATACATCAAATAGTCAGTTATCATGGCGCGATAACGGTCGCTATTGATGGTTACGTTCTCACCGGCATCATTTTTGGAGTAATATAGACCGATGATTCTACCGGCCCGCAAACCACACCAAACAGTTGTTTTTTCTGGATGAAATGGCAGATCTTGCTCTTTGTCCCAAATGCGGCAATTTTGCTTGTTTACATATCCATTGAGCCAGAAATGGGCCGCATCACTAAACAAAATTTGGCTGGAAAACGTCGGATCTTCTTTTTTAGAGTCCATAGAGCAAAGCGATGAAGCTTGGGAAGGTCGAACGGCTTCAGTTCTTGCACAAGCTGTAATTTGTTCGCTTTCAATTTAATATCTCGATGTAAAGTCGTTCCATACGTCAGTCCGAATTGCTGCGGACTGCGCCGAATCGACTCTCCATGGTGGTCGTGTATACTCTCAGCGCGTTTTTTAGTTTTTTTTAAAATTAATTATTTGTAACTTTTTAGTTTAATGGGTTATAAAAGCATGTTTTTATACTCTCGCAACATGTTGCTACAGAGTATATTAGTTTTGTTCACCTAACGGTTGTTTGTATCACCTAAAACTAGTTGAGTTAGATATAGGGTTATATATTAGGTAAGGTAAAAAGTTCGTTCGGTTTTTTATTGATTTTTCAAAAGATGATAACTTTGTGTACATTTGTCCGATTTAAGTCAAATATGCGCCGTTTTGTTCGTAAACTTGTTGCCAACGAGATGCAAACTTTATTATACCCCTCTCGTAGAAGACTGCGTTCCTATTGCCAAAAAACTCTCTTGAGGCCAACTTCTCACCATTAAGCGCGTTCGCCATGAACAGGAAAAGATGGTAATCACTTGGTGCCAGCTCCGGACTATAAGGTGGGTGCATTAGAACCTCCCATCCGAGCTCCAGGAGCTTCTGGCGAGTCACCAAAAACGTGTGTGGCCTGGCGTTGTCCTGATGGAACACAATTCGGCCTCTGTTGATCAAAGATGGCCTCTTCTGGGTGAGTGCTGCTTTCAAGCGGTTGGTCAAGTTGCCAGTAGAGGGCCGAATTGAGCGGTTGGCCATAGGGGAGCAGCTCGCAGTAGATGATTCCTTGCCCATCCCACCAAACACACAGCAAAACCTTCCTGGCCGTCAATCCGGTCTTGGCCACCATCAGGGCCGTTTCCCCGAGCTTTGACCACGACCGTTTGCGCTTGATGTTGTCATAAGTGACCCATGTTTCATCGCCAGTCACAATCCGCTTCAGAAACGGGTCGATTTTGTTGCGATTCTGCAGCGATTTGCAGATGGAAATTCGGCCCATCATGTTTTTTGCGTTAGTTCGTGTGACATCCAAACATCGAGCTCCTTTTTGAATCCAAGGTTATGCAAATGGTTCCAAACGGTTTTCTGGCTTATCTTTAGTTCCTCAGCAATTAAATAAGTGCTCACGTGACGGTCTGTTTCCACTATTTCCATAATTTTATCGCAATTTTCGACGACAGGCCTCCCGACGCGTGGTGCATTTTTGACATCGAAATTACCGGAACGGAACCTAGCAAATAACTTTCGTGCTACACGTTCGTTTACAGTATCGGGCCCATAAACTAAATTGAAGTTTTCAGCCGCTTTGGCTGCTTTTTCGCTTTGATCGAAGAAAAATTGTAAAATATAGCGAATTTTCTCTTTGTTGGTGTCCATCTTTGACGAGCGCTCACAACGAACTGAGTAAATCAATCGAAAAACTTTTAGCGCGAATAAACACGATTTCAGCGTGACATGATGCGACACGTAACACTAGTACTATAGACAATAACGCCATCTCTTAGATAAAAACGGAACGAACTTTTTACTTTACCTAATATATATAAATGATCAGGATGAAGAGACGAGTAGAAATCCGGGTGACTGTCTGTCCGTCCGTCCGTCCTTCCGTCTGTTCAAGCTGTAACTTGAGTAAAAATTGAGATATCTGTATGAAATTTGGTACACATGTTTTTTGGTTCCGTAAGACGGTTGGTATTGCAGATGAGCGTAATCGGACCACTGCCATAACTAAGCTCCACAGTAAGATACATGACTGTTATTTGGTAAACAGTTTAAATTTTTGTAAAAAGTTGGCGTGGTCCCGCCCCTTAATAGGTTAAATATGCATATCTCCTAAGCCGCTAAAGCTATAATAACCAAATTCACTTAGAACAAATGTTTTTAGCACCTCTAGTGACAGTGGGAAAATGAAATCAGATGACATCCCCACCCACTCTCCATATAAAGGTACTGTTAAAAACTACTAAAAGCGCGATAAATCAAGCAATAAACACGCCAGAGACATTAAATTTTATCTCTGGGATGGTATGAGATGACTTTATAGGAATCGCGTTCAAAATTAGTCAGTGGGCGTGGCACCGCTCACTTTTAAGTGAAAACCCATACCTTGGGATCTGCCTAACCGATTTCAACCAAATTTGGTACATAACACCGGATTACAACCACGCCTATATCCCATAAAACACCATTTTAAATTCCATCTGTTTCTTTCACTTTCCACTACCAAAACAACAATGACCAAGCAAACCAAGCAACAATGATTGTATCGGGGTAAAACTTTGCGTGAATAATGCGTTTAAAGTATGCCCCCTTGTGACCAAAAATTGTCTAAATCGAACCAAAACTGTTGAAGCCAATTGGTACTGAATATATGGTCCACAATGCCTATAGTTGACTTTTTACCAAAAATATCGGTCAATGTGTTGTGTATTTGAAACTCATATAATAAAATAAAACAATGAAAATCGCGATACTTGTATGTTTTTGTGCCAAAAATTGGTTGAATCGGATCAATATATCCTTTTATGCAAAATTTTGGCAACACTTGAATTAATTTCCCGAGTTGCGAGAGTATAAAATGTCCTGTTACACCGGAACTCAGAACTTCCTTACGTGTTTGAACTATATTTATTACTGAGCCGCACGTGGTTTTTTCACTTTCTTTAATGATGTGTTTGAGTAAACTTGTTATTCAAATAACAGCATGGAAAGTTGATGCTTTTCGCTGCATAGATTTAGGGGCATTTTTTTGCGGGATGCATAGTTCATGCTTTTTGCTGCAAAGTTTTGTAGTCGTCCATTTTTCGGTTCGTCCCTTTTCACAGTGTGTAACAGGAATGTCTGGGTAACCTCACATACCAAATTTGATTGGAATTGGTGCAGTAACATCTGGATAGAGGATGTCACCTAAAGGTCGGCGGTCCCACGCATTCCACATTGTTAAATTTTTACAACCCCTCTTATAAAGCTCTATAAGCACTTTTAGTAGTTTTCAACCTAACATACCGTTATATGGAGAGTGGACCTGGTTTTTATCTGATTTTACCCACTCACAGCGTATGAAAAAGTGCTAAAAAGACTTCCTCTCAAGAAATTTGGTTGAGTTAGCTTCAGCGGTTTGGAAGATATGTACCTTAAACTATTTAGTGGGCGAGGCTACGCCCTCTTTAAAAAAAATAAGCCAACAAGGGTCCCTTCTTACCACGATCCTCTGTACTAAATTACAGTTCGGTATCTTAAGTTAGTGCTTAGTTATGGCTCTTTATAGGTTTTCTTTCAACGGCGTTTTGTGCGAGTGGTAGTCGTTCGATTACGCCCATCTGCAATACCGACCTCTCTTAGGTGCCAAAGAAAATAGGTATGTAGCAAAGTTCATTAAGATATTAAGATATCTCAACTTTTATTGCACATAAAGACGACCTGAAAAAGTTACAAATATACAAGTGAAGCTAATAAAAGTGTTTTAAAAAGGAGTTAAGTGTTCTGGTAGTGGATCAATGTATGCCTCTACACTACGTCTTTGCTTTAATCGACTATGCATTTGGTCTTGTTTAGAAAATGAAAAGGCAAACGTTGGCACTAAGTGGAAAGAGATATTGTGAATTGGGGTGCTTTCCGACCCATGTAGAATTTATTATACACGTTGTATTGATATCGACAGGACTACCACCCTTTCTTCCAAAATTTTTTTCTAAATCAAAACAAACTATTATCAGATTATAAAGCAGTGTCAAACTTATAAGTTATTTCTCAAAATCCCTAATGAAGTTGAGTTTTACTTAAATGTTAAAAATTTAGCGAAAATCACAAATATATTGAAATTATTTGCTGGTTGCCTTAATTGCTTTCAGGATTAATTAAAATCTGTAAAACATGGATTGAATGAACCGTGTTAGTAACACACATTTAAAAAGTAAGGAAGGGCAAAGTTCGGGTATAACCGTACATTTAATACTCTCGAAATTTTCCGGGTATATATTATTAGGTGTCGATTCAACTTTATTTTAAAGAAGTAAGGAAGGGTAAACTAGGGAAAGTATCGCCGTGATTTCATCCATTTAAGGCAAGAAGATACAGTTTTTAAGAAAGAGATTATTTATTAATTTCATTACGATTTCTTACACATTGACTCATAGATGCGGTATAAAATGAACCGGAAGCTCGAAAATAATTATGTTAGGCGTATGAGGGCTAAGGAAGTGTTGACCCGATTTTACCCCCTTTTAGCACAAATTATAGTTCGATTCGACAATTTTTGGAACTAAGAAGAAATATTTGAAGACACTATTTGTGCAAAGTTTTATTCTGATATCTTCGGGATGTTTGATTTGTATATTATAAAGTGATGAATCAGATGGAGTTTAAAAGTCTATTGTATGGAAAGTAGGCGTGGTTGTTATCTGACTTCATCCATTTTCACAGCGATGATAGGAATGTTTGGGTAATCTCACACACCAAATTTGGTTAAAATTGGTGCAGTAAGGAGAGAGAAATTGGAGATATAGGATTTCACCTAAAGGAGGGTGCTGCCACGGCCATTGTCCAAATTTTATACCTGCTCCTATAAAACCTGTACCGTGAGTGGACGTGGTTATTACCTTATATTATATTATCCATTTTCTTAGCGTATAAAGGAGCGCTAAAAGGAGTTAATCTCAGGAAGTTTGGTTGAGGTAGCTTCAGCGGTTTGAAATATACGAAAATTTAATCATTTAGAGAGCGGTGCTACACCCATTTTAAAAAAGTTTTAGTCCACAGATGTCCCTAGTTATTGCAAGCCTCTGAACTAAATTACAGTTTTATATCTGAATTTGGTGTTAAGTTATGACCCTTTATAAGCTTTCGTTTAATGGCGTTTTATAGGCGTGGCAATAGGCAGAAAAAGTACGAGTATAAAGAAATTTTCATCAAGATATCTCAATTTTTACTCAAGTTTTCGCTGCATCGTCAAACGGACGAAGAGACAGTCATCCGAATTTAAACTTGGCTCGGCATCCTATCTCGAGTAGTTTCAGGTGATACAAACAACCGTTAGGTGAATCAAACAATCATTTATATTAGGGATATGAAGATTAGTCTAAGGTCTAGACCGATTGGGGCTATGAAAGGACCTGGATGGATTATGCTAACTTTTGACGTCACTTATGTATATTCGAGAATATGTTTCCACGCAATTCTAAGAAGATAACTCCCACATTGTCAGATACGTATAAAGCTTGATAGAATAACGAAAATTATTATAGGTGGTATATGGACGCAGAACAGATTTTACATATTTTCCGATACATACATTTACATATTGACCGATACATACGGTACAAAGTCAACCGGATGTTTGAAAATCTTATATTAAGTATTTGGGGGCGGTGGAAAATATTGACCCGTATTTAACTTTCCTTTTGCTTGTCATTAGAACACATAGTACCATGAAAGGCGGTCTTTAAGTTGTATTGTTATATTTAACATATTGGGCGTTATTTTCGGTAAAAAGTTATGATTCCGTTTCGACGTTTTTTAGATGCCAGTTGACCTTGCTTGAGCGGACTATTAGTGCAAAGTCTTATCCAGATATCTCGATTACTTGATTTTTATACTGTAAAGTGCAAGAATTAGATTGAATTTGAAATTGTGTTATATGGGAAGTTGACATGATTGCAGTCCGATTTCCCCATTTTCACATTGCAACGTAACGTTAAGATGTCAGGATAATGTTTAGTGGAAATTGGTCGAAATTCTGAATATTTGGATTCCACCTAGATGTGGGCGGCAGAAAGATATGTTTATTGAACCTATTAGCGGGGGACCCCCGCCCCCGTTTGAATATTCCTACTGGCAAGGAACTCGTACACCAAGATATCTGAACTTTTACTCAAGTTATTGCTTGCACTGGCAAACGGTCGGACAGACAGTCAACCGGATTTCAACTCGTTTCGTCATTTAGTTAAGGTGATGCAAGCAACCGTTAGGTAAATAAAACAATTATACTCTGTAGCAACATGTTGCGATAGTATAAAAATAATGCGCCCTAATGCACACTGAATATTCAAACTACAACAGCAAATATACATACCATACATTATGCATAACTATATCTGTATCTATTCATAAGCATGAAAATGAATATAAACAGCGTACGTGTAGATTTCCCCACGTGCCTTCAATGTTACAATTAAACCCTGGCACTTTCCATACGCATACATACACATATATATTTACATACTGCTATACACCTGTTAGTGGCAAATCTAATTTTGTATAGGAAATGTGCGACTTTACCTAAATACAAGTAGAAAATGGCTGTTCAATAAACTCTAAAACCGCAACCGCAACTGCGATGCCTGAAATGCTTCGTAGCGGTCTAGTCTATCAACACTTTATTTTATTGTATTTTTGTTGTATTCTGCGTCGACTACTATCAAAAGCTGGTGACAAAAATATTCAATTACAAAATTCTGCGGACAAAGCCGTGTATGTGCAAACCACAATCGCGTAACGATTTTCCAATCAATGCAAACTCAGTCATACATAAATAAATACGAATCCAGCCCTATACGAAAATTACAATAAGTACCAGTGGCGGATCTACGGGTGTTTCGGAGAATGTTGGTACGATAGGAACATAATCGAAGGCTTTGGCAGCAGAGTTAAGAGATTGTATTACAAAGAAGTCTGCCAGAAAATCACCTTAAAAAAGTATGCAAAAAAACTGCAATCTAAGGTATGGGAATACCGTGTTTTTCTGAAATGTGGCTCCAACAGAAAATGAAATACCGAAAGCTGTATTCTCAGGCCAAGCAACTCTCGCTCCACTAAATTTAAATGCTCTACGTTTTATATTTAATGCGACACTTTCTCATTTCAGTAAATTACTTACCGAGCGGTCGGTGCTCAATGGAGAAGTGATGTATGGGGCAGCCACCATTGTTCCACGTTGATAGTTTCAAATTCACACAGGACGCGTTAGTGGCTATCAGTTCATTCCCGTTCGGCGCCTGTGAGGCTGTATTCATTAAAATATTTAATAAATATTATGTTCGTGTTGAATTGCTGCTAAAATTTAACCGCATATAAATATAGTTATAAAGCCAATTTTTACTCTGTACACACTTTACCCGTATACTCCTGTTAAGAGTTAATGGATAAAGGTCATTTAGCCTTTTGAATTGTCCCATATGCATACTTAGTTCTGCCATAAGTTTTGTTACAAATTTAAGTCGTTATAAATATGAAACTACACTACATTTTTTAATGACGTTAATTATATTTAATAATGCATACATTAAATGATCGATATAAAAAATTTTGTTAGAATTGTTCCCCATTTGCTTTCACACAAGCCTTAAAACGATTCGTCCATTGATCAATAGCAGCATGCAGAGCTTCTATACCTATAATTGACGACGCTGCTCGAACCCGAGATTGGGGTATTCGAGAGACCATTTTCTCCAACACTGACCACAAACTGTAGCCCAATGGATTCAGACGTCCAATAATTTGCAGCTAAGAAACCAGGAATATTGCTTTTAACCCAATTTATGGTTTTTGCCTTGGAGCAAAATCTTGCAAGAAGATTCAATGCCCTACATTAAAAAAAGTATTGCTTAACTGCCTTACCACGCCTTCTATAACATCTCATTCTCTTTTACAGAAGAGAAGAGATGCATTTACATTAGAATTCCCACGAACCATTACAGCAGTTGGATGGTGACCGCGTAAGTTTTTTGAGAAGTTTATAAACTTCACTTGCACTGTTTCCACACTTATGTAAAAATCAAATAACACGTAGAATGTTGTAGTCAAGGGGTGTATGGGCCAAGCCACCACCATTTATTAAAATCACAAAAATAATACGTAATGTACGTAATGGAAAATTTTTGAACTCAAATTCGTAATCAAGACAGCTCAAATACCCCCACAGACCAACTGTTACCTTTAGATTTGTTGAGTAGTGTTGTACAGGGAGATGGCTTGACTTTGAAGTGACTTATCTCCTAAACTATTAACAATTTTGAGTTGCATCAAAAGGTGAGAAAAAGGCCGTTTTATTAATTTCCATTATGTAATTGAAATATATTTTTAAAAATTAAGATTTCTCCAAAAGATTTAAAATAACTCCATTTTCAAATAGCCTTATTATATTTTAATAATGCCAAGTAATCCATTCTTTACATAATTCCTTCAATGAAAACTGAAAAGGATATCGATGCCGTTTACTCCCACTGCATTTCTTTTGCCGCCATAGCACCACACACCACACAATGCAGCCTTTATCTTTTATTGCTTAGCCTTCCTTACGCTATACAAATCGACGATCTTCAGACTCAAAAAGATTAAATTTGGACTCTTCTGTAAAAATTACAGAATCCCAAAATTTGTTATCACGGTGGATATACTTTTTGAAATATAATAAACGTTTCGCAATATTTCTCTTCGATAAGCGTAGTTTACTCTTAAGTTATGTGAAACCAAGAAGTTCCGAACAGTTTGCGGGTGGCAACTTTGCTTTCAGCCTGGGGCGTGGACATTTTTTTGGGCTACTATTAAGTCTTCCAATAATAATATGTGTTTTTTGAAAATATTGTTTACTTCGCGATTAATTTTGTTCTCTTGCCCATATTTGACTACCTGAACTTCTAAATCTTTAGATGGACCATTTTTTCTTCAAAAACGCACAAAATAAATTCGTTTACCAAAGAACACATTTGACTTTACTCAAATAATACCAGACAAAAATAATGGTACCTACTTGATAACTGCATTTAAGGTTGCCAACACCAAGTTTTTGTTTGGCTGCTCAAAAGTGAGATATTCAAATTTTTTGCAAGCGGTAACATCAAAATTTATTAATTTTTATTTTTTTTTAAATATTCAAAATACATAAGATTCTCATACTGTTACTTTTGATTGCAGTTTAAAAGCCGAAATAGTTTATGAGAAAATTCCCTTTAAAATTTAAGCCTCTCTCTAGGTAAAGGTTTTTTTTTTTGATTCTCTGTCTGAGTAGATATATGGTGGAATCCAAAAAATTATAATGAAAAATAACGGAATTTTTTCCTCGCTATATGCATTTTAAACTTTGAAACAGAATTTATGGCAGAGCTAAGTATATAACTTTACATATGTATGGTATTTTTCGAGTCTTTATCCTATATTATATTAACCATATCCAGTTTCGCATTATTTCTGCCTACCTTCACATCGAGCATAAACACAATCTATTTAAATTTGCTTACCTTTGCCCTTGGTCCAGACGTTAATTTCCTCACTGGACACGCCGTCGCCGACAATGTTATGCGCCGATATCTTGATGATATACTGATTGCCACATTTCAAGCCCGTTATCGTATAAGCGTTATTCTCCGGCATCAATTCGGTCTGTGTCCATGTCTCTCCTGTGATGCGGTGCGAAATGGTATACCCCTGCAATGGGGCACCACCGTCGTCCGGCGGATCCCAGCTGACACGTATGCTATCAGCTGACGCATATTGCACAATGATTTGGGGGGCGAAGGGTGGCTTCATGGCAATCACTTGATATTGAATCTCATCGCTTCCGAACAGATTATTCGCCGTACAAGTGTAATTTCCGGACAGACTGCTCTCTACGCCTGTTCACCAGTACCGTTGTCGATTGCCATTGGCCATTCAATTTTCACCATCCCACGTGTGGTTATGTGCGATTGCCAAAATTTTCAATATGTAACGTAATTTTTTTGCATATTTTTGTTGGTTAATTTTCGAAAGCCGTTAGTTGTGGTTGTGGCATGCAACGCAAAATAAATTAAAATAGAAAAGGTTGCAAATATGTACAGCTACATGGAAAATTGAATTTTTATTTTACAGATAATTGGAATTCAACGCGGCATTTCTCAGCTGAGTGAGTGGTCGTGTCTGCTTGACTAACCAAAAATATGCACAAGAGTGTCGTTTGGCCACCAAAGTGGCCAGGCAGCGTAAACAGGCGGAAGTAACCGCATTGTGCGAATAATATATTAATTCGAGAAGCGCTTGATGGAAATTAGATTTTAAATTACCTAGCTGAAAGGCTATTAGGTTTGAATATTTCAGAAAACCATTTACGTAAACCATACACCAAATACCGGACATGTCTATAAAATAGAGATTATTAAAGTCATACTTACGGTGTAGTTTTAGATTTCCTTCGTTAGTCACCTCATAAAAGGGACTGAATGTGACAGGCCGGTCTCTAGTTAACCATCTAGCTCGCGGCGTCGGATTTCCCACAGCCAAACATTCCAAAATCAAGGCAGTGCCGACAGCTTTCCGAACTAGTTGGCCAAAAGAAGCGATCCGTGCAGGGGCTGTAAGATTACTAATTATTTTCAACTTTTACTTAGAAAATTTTAAAGCGCGAAGTGCAACCTTCACAACTTCTTAAATGAAAGCGTGTTGGCTATAAAATAATAAAACATTAAAGTCAGTTCAAACTGCTATTAAAACTACTAAGATTATGATATAATATCTTAATAAGCGTTGATACTTTCTTTTTTTAATTTGTTTTAACAGCTTTGTGGGAACATTTGTAAATAACAATTTAATCAAAGAAATTTTAACAAATCCCAATAATTTTAATTATTTTTTTTACATATACTAATACTCGTATTTAGATTTCTTTGAGTATTTTTAACTTTTAATTAAGTGATAAATAAAAGAAGAAACCTGGAGATATAAATTATTTAAAAATTAATCTTCGAACATAAATAAGTTATTGTTGAAGTGACGTGAAACCAGTTTCATCTATCCTGATTAAATTGGAAAAAAGTTAGTGTGCTTCTGAATCTTCATATTAAAGAAGATTTACTATTTTAAGTTGCAACACCTTGTGAAAACAGTGGCGATGTGCTATTTAATGAAATAGACAAAAAAATTAGTTTATAGAATTACCTTGGGTTTTACTGCTGTCGGGTCGCTCTTACTGACAGGTAGGTGACGCAAACGCTCACGATAATTTTTGGATTATTATTGATATAATTTAGATTGATTTATTAGATTAGATTAGAATAATTTAGTGCTGGGATTATAAAAACTAAGCTGCCAATTTATGAAAGATTTTACAAAGCGAAATTGCTTAGCTTAGTTAGTTTATGTTATGCATAAACATGCGTGAGTGTACATACATATGTATATATGCATTCAGAATTTAATTACGAGTATATGTAGGGTAGGTGCGAAAATTTAAAACCATCTCGATTTCGCATACCTGTCTTTTAATTAAACTAAAGAAAAACCGAAAGAATAACCTTGCAGGACACAAAAAATATTATACTTCAGTCATTGGTATCTTTTAAATAAAATTTGCGATAATCACGAGAACATTGATTTTTCTCCGTGAACGAATTAAAGCAATTACACACATATCAATCTTTTCGTTTTCACAATGAACAGCGCGGTGTAATAATATTTTTTACCTACTGTTAATTTAATTTTTAATTTTCTATAGGATCGATGAATTATGTTGTTGTTGTTATGGATGCCGCTTTACTGCATTAACGTGCTTACAGAGCCATCAATCAGAGGGCTGGTGGTCGAACGGACCGCATACACCTCTGTCCTGTCACACCTACATACACTCTGACACACTTACCACGCGTATTTGTGGCCTGCGCAACCACAGATGTTGGTTCTCCCTCTCCAACGGATGTTGAGGCAGAAACCCAGAATTCGTACATTTGGTTTTCTGCAAGCCCGCGTGCTTCATAAGTCACCGGATAACCATTCTCATCGACGCGCACCATATGAGCTGTTCAATGATGGATAATCGAGGAGGAGATGAAAGAGTAAAAAAAATCAGTAACAACCGCAACAGAGTAAGGCCTCAATAACAAATCATATAACGCGTGAATATTTTAAAATTTATTATAGTCAGTAAGAAACGAGAAAAAATAGTTTCGAAATTGTACAACGTTTAATCAAAACCTCCTTTCCCCATCGTGACAATATTTTTTTAATAGCGATTTTTGCGTATTAATTCTTACTTCTTGTACACCACTATGAAGATGAGAATGATATGGCTTGAATCTGCTCTTTTTGGTGAAATTTTATAACCAAACAATTTTTTGACTGATATCTTAATTAAATTAAGTGGACGGCACATGTCCAATCTCATAGGTAAATTTGAAAATTCGAAAACAAACTCAAACGGTTGCTAATTTCACCAATAACGAAAACTTGTTCAATAAAAAAATTAATATATTTACTTCTAACAAATAGTGGGAGTATTTTCTGAACATTTCGTTAATTAATGGAGTTTTCTTTTCTCGATGAAAGTGTTGTATACATACATACATACATTTCTATATATTGTATATGTACGTAAATAGACCATTACACCTTATAAATGTGCTCCATTTTTTAGATGATAGAGAAACAAAAATTTCGCCAACCAACTCATTCTCAATTTCCATTATTGAACTTGGCAAAATTTACCGGTTCATTATGATTAGCAGAAAAACTTGATTTACAAAAAACTATAAAAGCGAAGAATAAACATCCGCTAGGCAACACGCAAATTTGACAAAATTTTTGTGAGATAAAAAACGTTGTAAATGATTTTAAATTAATCAGAAAAAACTAGCAAGATTATCTATTAATAACATTTTATTTTAATTAGCTTTTGCACTCACATTTCGCTTGCCCTTTCCGCCCAGCTTCGCGCGAATAAACTGTGTAATGCGAAATTATTCCATTGCGATTTTTTGGCGGCAACCACGAAATCAATATTGAATCAGCCGTTAATGCGGCTGCTTTTATAGACGCTGGAGCGTCCGGCACATCATCCTCAGTTTGGCAATATAACGGTTGACTGGACAAACCGTCCCCAGTTGCCGTATATGCCAACACACGTAGGGAGTAATTAGTCGCCTTATGGAGAGTGTGTAAGTAAGTCTCCAGATTGGAGGTACGCTTCACCTCCAATTTTGCGGGGAAGTCAACTGGAAATATAAAAACAACAAGTCATGAAGGGCTAAGTTTGAGTGTAACCGAACATTTTATACTCTTGCAACTTGCTAAATACCTTTAGGTGTTAAGGAAACTTTATATTAAATATTGCGATGGAATTCAACGTTCATTATTCGACGAAATCGTGAATGAATTACAATCAAATTTTTATCTTATTAACTTACATTCATTAAGATACCTCACATACCATCACCAATATATAAGGAGTCCCTAGATGTTTGAAAATTTTGATCGTAGTTATATGGGGGCTAGGGCAAGTTTTCGACAAATTTTATCCATTTTTAATACAAAGATATATTACGATTAGAGAAACACGCTTTTTCAATTTCAATTAGTCAAAATTTTTCAATAACTCGAAAATTTGTCTAATAGAAAAATAATTCTCTTTGACCTTCTATAATATGTCTCAGAGATTGACTGATATTTTCGATCGCAATAGGAACTGGGGTCCACATATTTGGTACTTAGGGGATTTTATAGTTTTGGCTCGATTTAGACAATTTTTAGCCTCAAGATGGCACGCTTTAAAGGCGCTATTAGTAGTAAAGCTCCATTCCGATATATTCATTGCATCTTGATTTCTAGTGGAGGTGGGAGGTATGCGAGGTTGTATTTTGATTTAGCCCATTTTCATGCCGTAACATATCTGTATAATGTTACCTACCGAATTTAGTTGAAACCGGTCTAGCAGGTCACGAGATGTGCGTATTCACCTAAATGTGGGCGGTACCACGTCTATCATCCAATTTTGACAGCGGCGCCTATAAAACCTTCTCCTATCATCTCAGGTGTCAAATTTTATGCCTCTGATGCATTTATTTATAGATTTATCACACCTTTAGTATTTTTTAACAAAGCCGTTTTTTTGGGAGTGGGAGGGGTTATCATCCGATTTTAACCATTTTCACACTATCAGTAGGGGTGCTAAAAAGATTTGCCATGAGAGTGAATTTGGCTGCTATAGCTTTAGTGGTTTAGGAGATATGTAAATTAAACCTATTAGAGGACGGGGCCACACCGACATTTTCAAACTTTTTAAACCTCAGATGCCGCTCCCTAATGAGATTCCTTATACCAAAGAACAGCTTAATATCTTATTGTGGAGCTTAGATCAATTTATCTGCAATGCCAACCATCTTATGGTGCCAAGAAATATGGTCCCAAGTTTCATCGAGATATCTCAATTTTTCTCAAGTTACAGCTTGCACCGGCGGACGGACGGACGGACAAACAGTCACCCGGATTTCAACCCTTAATCCATCTCGATTAGTTTTAGGTGATACAAACAACCGTTAGTTGCAAGATTACAAAAATGTTGCAATAAATTTAGCATTTATTATTCGAAGAAATTGTGAATAAATTGCAATAAAACTGGTATCTTTTTGACTTACGAGGTTTGTTCAAAAAGTATTGCGAATTTTGAATTTTCGCGGGCCACGTATATTCGACTTTCAATCGCATTGTTGCGTTACTTGTATGTTGGTACTCATATCCCTTACTTATACTAGTCAGCAAGGTCTGGTTATGCAAGGTCGGTTTTGAATGTTTAGTTGCTTGGACGCGTATTGGTTCGTCTTAGATTTTTGCTTTTTCCAAAAAATGGGTCTTAGAATTTGTATACAATAAGGCCAACCGGAAGTTCGAAAATATTTCTATTAGGTTTGGTATATGGGGGCTATGGGAAGTATTGACTCGATTCAATCAAATTTTTTATATACAGATATATTGTTATGAAAAAAAGATTCTCGCCTAATTTCAATAATATATCTCACACATTGACCGATATTTCCAGTAGAAAGTCAGGCATAAGCTCTGGGATCCACATTTAAGTTAAGTGGAGATTGAATAGTTATGGTTCGATTTTGACAATTTTTAGACTTGAGAAAGGCAATATTCGTGCAAATTTTATCCCGATATATTAATTAGTGCTGGAAAGAAAAAATATCATATGGAATTTTGAGTTGTGTTATATAGCGTAGGCGTGGTTGTAGTCCGATATTTAATTCCATTTTTGCACTGTAACATGGGAAGGTCAAAGTAGTCCTACGTATTAAATTTACTTGAGTAGGTCCGGAGATATATAATTTTGACATATGTTCCTATAAAGCCCTTCTGTGCCATCCCTGATGTAAAATTCAATGTCTCTGACGTATTTAGTTATTGATTTATCGCGTGCTGACGCAAGAGATGTTGAAATTATTTGTCCGGTACAAATTAGGGTGATTTAGCTTGAAGGGTGTGGGAGATATATACATTAAGCCTATTAGCGGCTTAAAACTTTCAAACAACAGGTGCCCCTTGCTACCAAGTTACCAAGTTTTATCTCGATATCTCAGTTTTTGCACAGGCAGACAAACAGACATCCGGATTTTAACTCGTATTCTACAAAACTCTGCGGCAAGAGTATAAAAATGTTGCGAAAGAATTCAACTTGCAAAATTGTCTTACAAAATTATACATATTATAGGTCGTAACCACTTATTTTTGATTTCGTGTCAAAAATACTCGTATGTAAATCAACCAAATTAATCAAATGAGTTATATGTGTTTGATATAAACTCAACTAAAGAGTTGATAGTAATGTATTGATTTTATGAGGAAAAATAATAATCGAGAATCATTATATAATATTAGAGACATGAGTTTTAGACAAAAGTCTGGACCAATTTCATTCATAATTATATTTCAGCGCTATATCAAATTATGGTCCGCATAATTTCATTAAGGTGTCACACATTTTAAGGCGTTAGGGGTAGTCAGAATTTTCAAAAAATTAATTTTTTTTTTACATTTTCGTTAAATTTAATATCTTGAAAATATTCTCTGAAAATTTCACGTTGATCCGATAATTACTGTTTGAGCTATTCCACAAATAACAAAGAGCCCTTGGGCACTTCAAAGCGGTCGGAAGCAGGTAGCTAGCGGCAGCTGCAAGAAACTTTAAATCCGTTTTTCTCAAAACTATGTTTTTCGAATTAGTTAAAATTGTAACTCGAAAACCGCTCAGTAGATTTTAATGAAATTTATACAGCTTTTAGAATACATAATAAACTCTGGCCTGATCGAAGGATTTTTTTCTTTCAAAAATTTCGATTTTTTAACTGGTGATTTTTTCCTAAATTTTTGAAAAAAAGAGAAAGCTTCGATCAGGCCCAGGATTATCTATTTATAGAACTAATTTTTTTTATCCAATTGATTTTAAATGAATCTTTAAGGACTTACGATTGTCACCGCAAGGACCTTTTTTGGAATTGGGTCAACACAGACAGCTATAACTTTGAAAATTAAAATTTTTTTGTTTTTGAAATTTTCGTGACTTCAAGTCAAAACATTGTATAATAATGCCATATTACTACTTTTGTAAAATAACATGATTTAATAGCAAAAAAAAAATTAGAAAATTCTCACTTTTTCCTGCCTCTGACTACCCCTAACCCCGTAATAAAGTAAAATTACTGAAATCGCTTTTTTAGAGCTAGGAAAAAAACTCAACTTTTTGGACTGAGGTGGCATATCTTAACAGCACTATTTGTTCGAATTTTTGTCCCAATATATTCATTGGTGCCTGATTTGTATATTGTCAAGTGAAAGAATCAGATGGAATTTAAATTTGTGTTACATGGGAAGGTCGGCAAAAATCACCCGCTAAACGCTTCCCGAGGGTGCCGATTTTTAATAGATACCACAGTATTACGACGTCACGACCCTACCTGGGAGTTCAATCTTCGCGATATTCGGGCTGAAAACGTCGAATACGGCGCACCAAACGCTTCAAGGTAGAATACCGCATCAACGTTTTGGCCGGGTGGTACAAATTCTTTGTGGACAATACCCTTGGAATCATAAAAACAAATCAGCATTGTCTTCACTTTTGACTTCTCCAGGCGCGATTTTTTGGGTTTCAGATCATTTCTCTTTTATGTCCTCACGACCACTTTGAAAACGTTGAAACCACTCGTGCATTCTGCTACGGGATAGGCAATCATCGCCATAAACTTGTTTCATCAATTGAAACGTTTCGGTAAAAGTTTTAACAATTTTAAAACAAAATTTAATGCTGGCTCTTTGTTCGAAGCTCATTTTCGCACCGATGACAAAAACATACTGACACTTAAAACGCAATCGAGTTTACTATGTTACTGTTTACGGTGAGTGTACTTCGAGGTCTGAGCTTGTAGACAGACTCTCTAATCTAGACACTGAGAGTGAGATTTTGAACGACTTTCAAGAAGACAGAGAGAAGACAATAATTAATGTGTTTTCTCCAAATTAATCCACCATCGCAGTTGTTGAAGGAGCTGGTAATAGACAGTAAAGAATCCAGGTGCTTGACTATACTTGGATGCGACTCCAATGCGATACACACGTTATGGAGCAGCACGTATCAACGAAAAGGTGAGTTGCTCTTTAACTACCTACTAGGCACTGGGTTGAGGAAAACTAACTGGCAGATGCACCTGCAGGAGCTAAAAAGGCGTATTCCTATGATTCCGCCATTTCAACCAAGAAGCAAGTAGGATCTAGACGCAGCAATTAAAGAAAGCCTTCTTGTACTGACAAGGAGTGTCCTCACAACAAGAAGTATATCTATATACACAGACAGCCAGGTAGCTTTGAGATCACTAAAGCCTTTTAGGATTTCGTCTAAGTTAGTGAAAGAATGCCTTGAGCTCTTTGTGGATCTAACATTCTATTTCACGATAAACCTGCAATGGATCCCAGGTCATAGTGATATCCCAGGGAACTGTGTAGCAGATAAACTAGCCAGAACAGGAACCACCGTACAACTAGAGTCCGGAAAAAAGGGAATATTTATGCCTCTGGCTCCTTGTAAATATTCAATTGACAAACTTGTTATAAACATAGCAGAGTCTCGATGGAATCAATCATTGACATGCTCAACAAGCAGGCAAACGAGGCAGGATAATATTTATATGCAATAACTATAAACACAAAAACGAGTGAAAGAACCACCTGTTGAGATAACCAAGAGTTAATATCAACTCCGTGTAGCGTACCAATTGTGCATATGTTTACGGGTCTTCGTGCTCTCGCATAACAGTTTCTTTCTAAATATAAACTTATAGATACACATTTTTCTTGTGCAACATTGATAACGGGACAGAGTAATATCTTACATGCACTTTAAAGGCACTACTGTCTAATACATATTAACACCATCCACCAGAGAAGGGCGATGGCGCTGCATGCTTTTCCTACTTACATTCCCGATAAAGTGGTGGCATGTGGGAATATGTGAGTGTAAAATACATGTATTTGTAGTGTTCGAACTCACTTTGATTCACAATTGGCCGATATAAAATTTTATAGCCTTGGATTATTCCACCATGAAATTGCAACGGCGGCTCGAGCCAGGATATCTTCAGACTTTGCGACGACAATGCGGTACAGTTAACATGCCGCGGCGGAGCTTCAGGAACTGTAAAGAGAAACCAAAGAAAAAATACAAATTTTCCCTTTAATACTTGTAGTTTAAAATATAAACACATAGTTATAGCAATCGGTTATCTATGCTGCAGTTATATGGCAATACAAATGAGTAGAGTGTGCTAAGGAGCTTTACGCGGCAATCACAAATAACAATATTTCAAGTTGGAAAAATCTAATGATAACTGTTCTACAGCGCTTTTGTTGCCTCAGGTATAATATCGATTTTGGATAGATTTGTTCAGCTTAAGAAAATATCAATGGTTTTGAAAGATTTGCTGTTGTATATTTTAAAATCTTTATTTTCATTTTACTTTCCAAAATTTAGAAAAAAAATACACAAAATAACTGAAATCTTTGTAATGTCGGTTTTGTTTTCAAAAATAATGCATCCGAAGTAAATAGAAAAGCAAATGTCGAAAACATATGTTATATTTCCATAAAACTGCATTGATTAGCTTCTCTTTTATAATTTTCCAGTCGACAATCCTTTTTTAAGAACAATCAGTAATCTGCTATCATGTGACTATCCCATCAAAAATGACACCTTTTTTCCATCACTTTTAAATTATAGTTGAACCGTTTCCCTGTCCCTTACTATAATTTCCAAAATTATCAGATAATGTATCCAGATTATAATGGAGATAGTTTAACTCAATATATTTAAATTTGTTCCTGCATTCTGACAGTTTGCTAGCATCTTTTGCACAACTTTTTTTCATAATTCGGTACTTAATGTTTACCTAGGTAATTTTCGATTATCAACACAAACCTTTTACACGATTCACTTTTCAGGCCAGTCATAACTTTGATAAAATCTATATCTTTCAGTAATTGCTGTATCAGATATTCCACCTTTCAGCTTTTCCATACTAAGTTCGGAAATTTTCTGCAAATGTCACTAAAACAATTTCCTTCTACGTCCAATGTTTTGGCAAATTGTTTTATCATTCTTAACTTGATCACCAAATCACTGAAATTATTTTGAGAAAATAACTTTTTTGTAGATGTTTCACCCTCTTATTGACATCCATTGGTAGACTGTACCGATATTTAGGTATTTGGCGGCATTATTGTTTCTGAGTAGTCCATGAGAATTACTTTTGAAACAGAAGCGAGATTTTCATTGAGGAAAGCAGGACATTCTGTAGACTGTAATTCTAGATATCTTAAAGTTAAATTTTTAATAAAGCCTTAAAACTTTGCGCATATTTTCGGAAAGGAGTCTAAAAAAGGGTATCACGTGATGTTGGTATGCGCGAAAACGATGCGCAGAACCCGAATCATGACTGGAAAACTAAATTTTTATTACTAACAAGCCGATAATTATCAAAATATTAGATATGCAATTATCATAAAAAGAAGAGCACATTCAATATTTTATGAACAAGGTCGAAATCTGGAAACCTCAAACCATTAAAATTTGCTAAGATATCCAGGGTAACAAACATTTTATTTGTTTTTAGAGCTGTGGAATGAGTATGGACTGAACGACTCTTAAAACGGTTCTCAAGGTTCGTATAACATTAACTATAGGTATGTAAATGAGCCGAAGGATCGATTTAGTTAAGGAAGCGATTGGTATATATAGCTTATATTCAGTCATTAAAAATGCGAAGTCCAATACAAAATTAGATTGTGTAGTTTCAATTTCGGATAACTTTAGCTGGTTCCCCTATGCTTGATTTGTCTTACAGGGAATTAGAGAAGAGCACATTGGCCGGCATTTACCCACACACTACTAAAAACTGCAGACAAACTGTGGTTATACAAACAGCACTTTTATGTAAGTGCCAGAGGAACAAAAGCTCTTAAAACAACATTCAACACCTATAAAATTACTCACCACCCTCGGCTGTCGTTCCGAAAATGGCAGCACTCCAGGGTCCCGAACCAAAGCTATTGAGTGCTCGCACAGTCACCGCGTACCTGGTGTATTTGCGCAACCCGCGAATGGTTGCTTTTGTGGTGGCCCAACCACTTACAATCACCGACTTGAGTGAATTATTGACAACGCTAATGTAGTTGATGTTCTGTTTTTCCTCGCTGCAGTTAACAGTATAGCCGATGAGTTCACCATTCCAAGATTCACGTGATGGTATCTGCAAAGACGTGAAAAATTAAAATGACAAGACAAAGCGTTATTTCAAGTAAGTAGAATGAAATATGTGCATATATTTGTATGAATAAGGGGAAAATTGTTGTTTTTGCGCCCACAAAAAACACATGATTGCGGGTGATTGCCGTTGATACGAGTAAGTGGCTCATATAAATGTTTATTTTTACGAAGAAAGCAGTGCTCTCGATAAATTAACGTCAGATCTGGTAGTCGCTCAAACTATTATATTATATTAGCCACACTAACTACGGGTTGATGCCCTTTTACACTATGCAGTGTGAGAAACGGACGTGTGAATAAAAATTTTAACAAGGTTGTTGGCGGGCTCACGAAAATAATTCTATCTAGTTTAATACAGGCAGTGGTTGAACAGGGCTATTAGCAAAGCAAGATTTTAAAAAATTAATTCGAATGAAATCTAACAAAAAATTTACTCTAATTATTGGAAGAGTAAAATGTATACAATTTGTAACGATGTAAGGAATCTTTTGTGTTTGTAAAGAGTATAATAGCTTCAGTACAATCGAAGTTATCGTTTTTTCTTGTTTTCCCCATATGTTGGTCAGAGTAATGCATAACATTTAACGCATTTCCATTTGTCATATACGTATTAGATAGGAAACCTAATACTACAACAAATGAGGATGAAGGTCAAGTTCGGTTGTAACCGAACATTTCACACTCTGCCAACTTTTAAGGATCAAATCCGGGGAAATACCTTTAGGTGTTAGCAAAGCATTATTTTAAAAATTTTGTTTGACGAAATCGTGAATGAATTACAATAAAATTTGTATATTTTTAACTTTTATTAAACGTCAAAGATTAAGTTAGTTTTATAACTATGTTTTACTTCCCTTCAGCGAAAATTACATTAAAAACATCTTCAAATGAGATATACATACATATATGATATCAACCCAACCGAAGATGCTAAATTTAATACATTGACGTTTTGTGCAAAACGTCAAACACAAGATAGGAATTCATTACATTAGGGTAAGGTATAGACCAATTCCATTGTAATTCAGTGCTGAACCACATAATTTTTAAAAGAGCTTGTCCACTTAATTTTACCAAAAATATCACATATTTTGAACAACCTAAACGGTATAAAAAGCGTGGGAAATCGAAAATCACTATTGGGGGCAGAAAAGGTCTGGGCTAATTGCACACACTTTTGACATTACTCAGATATACTCGAGAAATTATTTAAAAAAATTTTTTTTAATATATAACTCGTGTAATAACCGCCATATTTGCCATAAGGTTTGTTATTGTAACGAAAATCATTATACTTAGCATATGGGAGTTAGAAGTAAAGTTAACTAGACGTTTAAAAGTTCCGATATTAGTTATATGTTTAGAACAAGTTTTTACTTGATTTTAGCCCTTTTAGGCACAAAAATGCACCATTATTAGAAAAATAAGCTATCTCACATATTTGCCGATATATGCGGTATAAAGGCAGCCGGAAGTTCAAAAATCTTTCTATTAGGTATATGGTGGCCAATGATTCAACCCATTTCTGATATACAGGCATACTATTATCAGAAGAGAGTACTCTCCGAATCTATAATATATATATTATTTCACAAATTTACCGATGTTTTCGATAAAAAGTTCGCAATAGGAACTGACTTAAATAATTTTGGTCAGATTTGAACAATTTTTGGTCATAATGTGGCACACCTCAAAAGTACTATTCGTGCAAAGTTTCATTCCGCTATATTCATTGCTTCTTGATTTTTATACTGGAAAGAGAAGGAATAAAACGCAATTTTAAATTGTGTTTTATGGGAAGAAGGCGTTTTGTTTGTGTGATTTCGCCTGATTCGGCTTAAATCGGTCCAGTAGGTCCCGAGATATGGGTGTTCACCTAAATGTGGGCGGTGCCACACCCTTCGTCCAAATTTGACACCGGCTCCTATTAAGCCTTCTCCTATCATCTTAGGTGTCAAATTCTATGTCTCTGACACATTCACTTATAGATTTAACGCAGTTTAAGTAGCCGGACGGACAGACAGTCACTCGGAATGCAACTCATCTCGTTACCCTGATCATTTATACATTATATATATATATAACTCAATATCTATCTCGATTAGTTGTAGGTGATACAAAGAACCGTTAGGTGAACTGAAGAGCTGCAATGTATATAAATACTACTTGTGAAGAGGTGGTCTGACCCTATTGGAGAAACTGAAAACGTAGATGACAATCCAGGAAGAGAGAGGAATCACGTGACATCTAAAAGTCTAACTGTTCTCCCTTTGGAGAAAAAACCACTGCTAAGAGAAGTTATAATGAGAGAATAATTGTAGATATATCTCTAAATCCAATATGATACAGACTTCAGAGATCTTGTATTAAACGCAGCAGAACTGTAATCTAACCGATACTTTTAAAAACACATATTGAAGAAAAGTTGCATTGGGCGCAGAAAGCATCGACCGTGATGTATTGGAGCAATGTAATATTTACCGATTAGCCAACTTTTGTATTAGCTAAGAAAAGGAAAAACATTTATTAAAAGAAGTGTTAGTTGAACCCTCAAAATATGTATGTTTAAAGATGCTTCTCTGTCCATAGGTTTTAGGTGCTTCACAGAAACCTGAACGCCATTAGAATGATAAAATTGTATAAAAATGATTTACTGAAATCAGCTGAAATTCATTATGGCAAAAATTACTGGTTGGATATTGCACGAAGGCTATGATCCGAAACAAAGGAGCAGAGTGTGTACTCAATAAAACCATATTGTTACTTTAGATTGGTCATCACCGTCAACGGATGGAGAATGTTTGCGTTTAAATGAATGACCAAAATGTCAAGACAACATTTAACGTCAACAAAAGATTTCATTCGGCTACTCCAACATACCTGGAGGTCACTTCCTGTGGAAAAATTTAGTTGCAAGTTGTCATTAAAGATGTCAGGCTGTAATAGGATTAGAGCAAGTATAGTATGAATGTCAGCTATAAATAACAATGAATTTTCTTAAACTACATTTTTGTTTAATTCATCAAACATTTTAATGTCTCTCAAACTTTTCTTTTATATCGTCTACTTCGAAGCCTGATTGATTTAAGATTAAACGCTTTGATAGAGAACGTGGAATGAATTTGACATCTGAATGGGGTCATTTCTATAACTGTATTAATTTTTATGAGATGATGCATATAATCATTACATAATAAAATTAATAAATTCTTAAAACTTGGCTATGGCATAATTATTTATTAACAGATATCTCTTTAGATTTGTTTACATTAAGTCGGCAAAACGAAAAGGTGAGAAAGAGAAGCTACATTAACCTGAATGTATTGTAATTTGAAGACTAGTGAATGATGCATTACATATTGAACAGAAGGTAGTGAAACACATTAACTATTTACTTTTATTTAATTCAAGATAGAAGCAGTAATATTGTTAACACAATTTTAAATAGTTATTCAAAGCATTTTACGTGGCCGAAATACTATAGACAAAAGGGAAACGCCAACAACATAAAATAAAGTAAATTGTTGATATAATATACTTTGAATTTGTATACTCATGTTGCAATTTTTGTAAAGAGTACAATAGTTTTGTTCATCCAACGGTTCTTTGTATCACCTAAAACTAATCGAGGTATAAGGTTATATATACATATAGAAATGATCCGCATGTAAAGAAGAGTTGAAATCCGGATGTATGTCTTTTCCATCCGTCCGCCCGTCTGTCTATGCAAGCTGTAACTTAAGTAAAAATTGAGATATATTAATGAAACTTGGAACACATATTCCTTGGCAGTATGAGAAGGCTGGTATTGTAGATGGACGTAATCAAATCATTGTCACGCCCGAAAAACGCCATTAATCGAAAACAAATAAATTGCCATAACTAAGCTCCCCAACAAGATACAAGACTATTCTTTGGTAAAACGAATCGCATTGGGGAGGGTCATCTACAGTTTAAAAAATTTTGAAAAAGTGAGTGGGGCCCTGCCGTCTAATAGGCTTAAAAACAGTTACGCTATAATAAACTAAATTAACTCTGGACAAATATTTTTAGCACCCTTACCGACAGTGTGAAAACGGTTGACTTCTGACTCACACTCTCCATATAACGGCTTTGTTAAAAACTACTAAAAGTGCGATAAATATATAAATAAAACCGTCAGAGGTAGACAATTTTACACCCGAGATGAAAAGAGTAGGTCTTATAGGAGTCACTGTCAAAATGAGACGTTTGGCGTGGTAACGCCCACATTTAGGTGAAAACCCATATCTCGGAACCTGTAGGACCGATTTCAACCAAATCCGGCGGCAACATTACTCTGATATACAGATAGATACAGTCTGAAAGAGGGCACATTCGGACTACAAACACGCTTACTTCCCATTAACACAATTTTAAATCCCATCTGGTTCTTTCACTTTTCAGTATACAAATCAAGCACCAATGAATGTATCGGTACAAAACTTGGCACGAATAGTGCCCTTGAAGTATGCCATATAATGACCAAAACTTATCAAAATCGGACCGATATCATTCAAGCCCCACAGTTACCGAATATGTGAACCCCAGTTCCTATTGCGAACTTTTTATCGAATATATCGTTCAATCTGAGAGATATACGAGTATTATAGAAATTTGGAGATAATCATTTTTTGATAAAAATGTATGTCAAAAATGAATTGAATCGGATCAATAATTCCCTTAGTTCTGATATATCCAATAGAGAAAGATATATCCGGAGAAAACTTCCGGCTGACTTTATACCGCATACCCATTTCAGCCAAGATGTATGTCAGTTATGTTATTGAAATTAAAAAAGCGTGTTTTTCTAATGATAATGTATATTTGTGCTTATAATGGATAAAATTGTGTAAAAACTTACCCTGGCGCCCATATAACTAATATCAGAATTTTCAAACCTCCGGCTGATTTTACTCCTTATATAATATAATATATTGGTGGTGGTATATGAAGTACCTTAATGAAACTCTGATAACATCTTTTTCTGTTAATAAATGTAGTAATACCAAAAATAGATAACATCGGGTCAGTACTACCCCTAGCTTCTACAAGTATATACCTAATATAAGATTTTCAAACTCTTGATTGGCTTTATACCGTATAGAATATCGGTCAGTATGTATATATCAATATGTATATACCCTGCACAGTGATTTTCGCTTTTCAGCTGACTTTAAACCGTTAGGTTGCTCAAAATGTGCAGAATTTTAATGAAATGAAGTGGTAATGGCTTCTTCAAAATTATGAAATTATATTAAGTTTAGCGCTGAATATGAATAGAGTTGGTTAAGACCTTGGTCGAAATCTCATATCCCTAACATAATGAATTCTGATCCTCTGCTTGACGTTTTTCACATCAACTCAATATATTAAATTTAGCTTCTTCGGTAGTGTTAATGCCAGATATATATTATTTGAATGACTGTAGTATAATTTCGCGGACGGGCAGAAAAATATAATTGTAAAAGTAGTTGGAACAATGAATGTTGAACTCGTTCGCAAGCTAATCGAACGCCAACAGTTAAATGTATTTCCCCTGCTTTGATCTTTATTTGTTACCGAAATTTTCCACAATATCGGATAATAAAGCACATGCGAGCTTTTATGGTCAAAAAATCTGATTTTTTACATTTGAAAGTCATCTGTTAGTGTTAATAGAAACCATGTAAGAAGTACATACAAGTATAGTATCACTAACCTGCCATGTCACAATCAGTTCACTTTCGCCACCAGTTTGCACCTGCACATTTGAGGGTGCTTCGGTTGGAGCCTCTTCTTGAGTTTTCAGCACAATAGGATCGGTGAATGGACTCCGCTCGATTTCGTTGATTGCCTGCATGCGAATGAGAAAAGTGGTTGCCGGTGTCAATCCTGTCACAATGGCACTTTCCCTCAAATCGGTGTCGTAGCTGTCAATACAAAGCAACAACAATGACCATGAATACCATATCTTCCATCCTACCAAGAGTGTGATGGGATAAGCAAATATAGCTTGTAACAGCGAATGAATGCATATATACGCGTGGTATATGCTGCACCCATTCATTGACTGAATATTAACGTACCTCCGGCTAATACTCGTCGACGGCAGAGTGACATTGATGATGTTTGGACCACTCCAATCCCCACCCGCCATGCCAAGCGCAGCATGTGACTGCAGATACTTCAATGGCTGATATTGTACGAGATAGCTGAGTACTGGCGAATTGCCATCGAATGGGCGGCGCCACGACAGTTTTACGGTGCGTGAGCCCACCTCAAAGACTTCCAGTACAGATGGAGTGTCAGGACGTTCTTGAACGGCCAAGAAGATGACGAACTCAGTGCGTCCATACGGATTTTCGGCAATGCAACGATAAATGCCCGAATCGTGACGATCCGAACGGGCAATGGTCAGCTGTGAGTCGACGCCCTTATCCGTTTTCATTTCCGCAATGCTAAAACGGAAATTGTTTAGATCAATTCGGCCATTGTTGTGTGTCCATGAAATCGCGATGGGCTCGTCGCCTTTCGCCTGGCAGTCGAGACTAACGGGGTCATTGCGTCGTGATGATACATTGCGTGCCCCTTGTTCGAAGCGGGCGGGTTCTAAAATAAACAGTTATGAATTGGCAAACCCCCACACGAGCAAAGTGAGGTAAAGGGTTGGAAAATCATTTGCTTGTAATTCCGCGTAAAAGTTCGCTTACCATTCACATTGATACGTATAATTTTCTTGAGACCGACTCCAATATCATTTGCTGCGTGACACATGTAGTAGCCCTCATCAATGTCCGTGGCTAGATTAAGCACTAGCGAGTTGTTGCGCATGCTGAGCGGCTTAAAGTCTTGTGACAGTTTGCCTGCAGAAAAAGTTTAAATATACATTCAGTGCGATACTTAATATATTTGAATGTTTATTTGTAAATTATATGGTGCTAAATCATGCTTTTTTGCTAATTTTTTGCATTATAGTTTTGAATAAGCAGTACCAGCTGCTCAGCGTATAATTGCCCATCAATGCTAAACTAGCTTAATTAATATTCTAACATTCCTGGCATAAGTTTATTTGCTTTTCTCAACACTCTCTTTCGCCAACATTTTTGTACTTTGTCTGCGGCTTTATCCTTTTAATGTGCTTTGCAGAATCGGCAACCACCCCAAAATACGACCGACCGTAATTTAACTTGCGAACACAAAGTCGTCGTCTATAAAACTTTAATAAACTCGTATTTCAGGATTGAGCTTACTACTGCCGAGTTCGCTCCTTTCACTTGCCTTGAGCAGATTGTTCATTTTAATCGATTTTTTTGACCGAACCTGGTAACCGATTTGCAGCAGACAGCCGCTAGAGATTTGCAACAGTGCGAGCTGTACCCACATAACGGTTTAACACGTATATACAACTACTACTTTTTCAAATTTCTCATGCTGTAGCTTTTTCGTATCCTTTTTATAGAAAATTTACTTCTGTGAACTACTTACCCTGCCCTTTGAACCAGGTAATAGTTGGAATCGGATATCCTTCCGCCTCGCAATTTATCGATATTGTATTGCCAAGCATGATGGCCGTGTCCATTGGCTCTAGCGCCCAGCGTGGCGCAACTAAACAAACACGTTCGACACACACACACATTCACATGTGCACAAGCAGCGAAAGAAGTGAAATCAGCGTGCGCGTCGGAAATGCGATAACGAACATGGTGAGTTATGTGTTGTTGGATGAGATGAGCAGCATCGTTTTGTGTAAGCAGAAAAGTAGCAAATATAAGAAGTAGAAAAGTAAATAATAAACTTAAAAGCAATGTGTTTATGTGAATAAGGAATGTAAAAGGTTATTTGCTCTATGCCTCTTAAGAGTTTTTCTATGGAAGATGCGGGGACTAAAAACCGAACGCGATTTATTTCAGTGAAATAGTCTTGTAAGGGTGTTTACATACAATACATACTATAATTATACAAAAAGAAAAAATATTCAAAGGCAGTAAAGATAACTAAATGCAGTCGTAATTGAAGTATTTAAGTATCAGTCTTGTCATTAAAGCAATGTTTCTGTAACTTCTTACAAACTGTAGCAAGGGATCTGTTAGATGGTCAAAATTGTATTATAAATGGCACTGACAAGCATTATAACCTGGTATACCCGCTATTGAGAATATTACTATAATCGAACAACTTCATTGTATTAATCGAAAATTAAAATGGGCAAACTGAAACATTTTTGTCCGATACAGCTATAAAAAGGAACAGACTTGGGAAAAGTCATTTAAGAATGTCATATGACTTATACATTTTTCTAAAAAATGGTGCTATTAAAAAGTCAAAAAATTAATTTTATTCCACATTGGGCAAAACGAATATGAGTTTTGTTCTTTAAATTGTGCAAAATTTGTGCGCTGTAGGACTGATAAACAATTTATTTCTTTTCCTATATAATAAATGCTACCGTTCTTTAAGAACTAGTGAAACTCTGTGAAGAGTTTAGGAATGAAACGTTTATAAATCAAATCGTTATTCCGACAAAAAAAATAGATAAAATAAATTAAATAAAAAACCTATACGGGTCAATTTTATCGTCATATGGAGAGAGATAGGTAGTTAAAACAAGTAAGGCACGGCTGAGTTCGGATGTAATCGAACATTTCATACTCCCGCGATATCAAAAGGTCAAAAGGGGAAAATACTTTCAGGTGTTGCAAAACTTTGTATTAAACAAGTAAGGAAGGCCACAGACAAAAAGATACACTGTTATTAGAAAGAGATTATTTCTGAATTACATTAAGATCTCTTCCATATTGACCGATATAAAGTTAACTGCAAGTTCGAAAATGTTCGGTAAAAAATCAGACAAATGCACTAGTGTCCAGATATATGGTGTCTGGGTTCTTGAAAAGTTATATCCCTATTTCGACAATTTTTGGACTTAAGATTAAATGCGTTGAGGGCATTACTTCTGCAAAGCTTTATCCCGATATATTCATTGGTGCTTGATTTTTATATGGAAGTGAAATAATAAGATGGAATTTATAGTTGCGTTATATTGGCTGTTGTCCAATTTCGCTCATTTTAAAAACAGTGTATGATCGGAATAGTTTGAAAACCTCACATACCAAATTCGGTTGACATTGGTCACAAAGTTCTTGAGATATATGTTTTCATTTAAAGGTGGGTGGTTCCACTTACATTGTCCAATTTTTAAATCTGCTCCTATAAAGCTCTTCTCCGGTATCGTGAATAAGTGAGATATCGCACTTTTAGTAGTTTTCAACATAACCGTTATATAGGGAGTGGGAGTGGTTATTATCCGCTTTTATCATACTTTTCTTTTGAAGCAAAACATACCATTCGTTGAGCTCTCAGAGATCGTTGAATATGCTCTGACACTACCAGGAACATAGGCACCAGTGGAACGCACATTTTCCACCACTCGCCTTAAAGTAAGCACCGTGAAATCGATTTTATTTGTTAAAAATAAAATAAAATTGTCTTGTTTGGAATTTTTCACTCAATTAAAATCGCATCCCGAGATTCTTCGAAAAATAAGTCAACAAGAGATGATGTATTTGTTTAAATAAAATTACCCTTAAAATAACGATAGTTTTAATTATAACGTTAAATATTATTTATTATTTATAATTACTAAGTAAATCTAAAGATAAGTCAATGACGCGCGGATTTTTGAGGGAGAAGTCATAAAAATTTTCATTTGTTAACTTAAGAGTTAATTAACAATATGAAAAAAAAGAATAATTTAAATTCATACAGATTTCGCATAGTACAATTATTGAACTATAACTTCTGAAAATTTCATTAAAAAATCACTAACAGTTTTATAACTATTAATTTTTTAACTAAAAGCAGTAAAAATTTAGAACTAAAAAAAAATTGTTGCTAAAATTAAAATTTAAAAAAAAAACTGAGCGGCGGATTAAAGTACTCACATTCAAAGTTGATGATCAAGCGGAAAATGGGAGGTCCACTTGACGTGTTTTCACTCATTAAAATTTGCTAAGACCAACCAGGACAAAAAAAAATATTTTGTTTTTGTAGAACTATGTAACATAATGTTTCAAATCGTATCCAAAGTACGATTTACAGAAACGCTATTGGCTATAGTCGCTTAGGCGGCTATAGTGTCAATAAAGTGCAATGAGATATTAAAACTTTGATCTCAGGTTAACTAACTTTTAATCGCAAGAGTGCTCAGCAATGATTTCCTCTCAGGCAAAGTCCTAAGGCAATTACTTTGAAATCTTCTTAGATTCATTTGCGGGTATTTGAGCTCATAATCTAAAAGAAAACTCAAGAATGTGCACATTCGTGTATTTCACATCCCGTAGTCATCCCTTGTCCCGTTACTTACCTCGGACTTGTAATTCGGCAGTGTAGTTCACCTTGGCTGCCGCATTACTCGCATAGCAGGTATATTTCCCGCTATGCTTTGCGCTGATATCCTTGAACACCAATAGCGAATAGAATTCCTCCTTTTTCTCAGTAATCTGTGAATTTGTGGAACAAAAATAACACACGAGAAATTTAAAACAAAATTAAAACGTCAAGTGAAAGCACAATCCTATAAAAATATTCGGAAGTTTGGCTGTCGTGCAGATTCGTGAAGTATGCTTGTAGTATACCAAATGCCTGTATGTTAATATGTATGAGTACTTGGTGCATACCTGAGAATAGTATATGCCCTTGAAAACGCTTGGTATCTTTTTTTTTGTTAATTTAATGTTAAAAACAACTTTCAGACTTTGTTTCAAAAGTGTTGCTGTGCAACCCTCCGGTAGATAGACCTCATACCAAAAGGAAGTGCATTTTCGCTTATTTGTCGTGTAATAAATAAGTTTTTCACTAGCACTTTTCAACTTACTGCAGTCACATTTGAACTTCTGGTTTTATTCTTTGCTACTCACTGTGGTCGATCATGTGTATGTGTATGCATGTACTTTCAGAGTCCCATGGATTTTTGGATTGATCAACTCACCTGCAAACTTGTCGGTATGGACATGTCATCCTTCTTCCAACTGAAATAGATTGGCATATCACCAGATGAAACGGCACAAGTTATCTGTGCACGTCCTCCCTCTTGCAGATTCTTGGGAAACTTGAATGCTTCAATCACTGGTGGACCTGTAGGGGAGAAAGCACAGTAAGATGAGAAGAAGATGAAAGTTATTTTGACACACAATAGTTGCGGGGGAAAGTTTATTGAACAAAAATCCAATACACAGTGCGTTCCAAAAATAACATTTTTCCTTTGCGCGATCAATTCGCGAAAAACTGTTTTTATTTTATTTTTTGCAAATTAACACGACCACTGACGCCTAAAATTCGAGCAGTTTTTACGATCTTCTTAATGTGTCACGTCTTGCCGTGAAATACAAAAACACAGTATTAGAAAAAGTTTGAAGCAGCCTTTCTATTAAAAAAACTGCAAAGTATTTTATAACGAGTTGTGCATTTGTAAAGAAGAGGTCTGATCATTATGGAGATATTGGAGACGTAGATGACAAGCCGAGAAGAGGGAGGAATCACGTGACATCTAAAAGTGAGAACAAAGCTATTGTTCTCCTATTTGAGAAGAAACCATTGCTTAGTCTAAGAGAAGCTACAAACATTTTTTTAAAAATAGATTAGATATATCGTTAAATACAATACGGGACAGACTTCAAAGATCTGTAATTCAAAAAAGATTGGATTGAGCGCAAGAAAACATCAACCGTGATTGGATCACTGTAATACATATTAACCTATGAGTCAACTTTTTTATTGCTCAACCTTTTGAGACGTGTTTGGCTAAAAAAGGACAACATTTATTCCAAGTAGTGTCAAGCATCCCCAAAAGGTGCATGTTTATGGATGCCTTTGGTCATGGATTTGGGGTTTTGAGGTGCCTCACAGAAAACCTGAACGCCGTTAGAATGATAAAATTATATAATATAAACAATGATTTACAGAAATCTGCTGAAATGCTTTACGGCAAAAATAACTATTAAATAAACGTATTCTTGTATGATATGAAGTGAAATATTATTCGCTATTAAATTCCAATTTAATTTCAAATTCTGCATAAAGAGTCACATCATATTTCTGCCGCTCTACTTGATCTTTGTCGAATATAAGCAAATATGTGAGATCTTTAACCGGCATTAGGTAAATATGTGATCATAGAAGTAACGTGGTAATAAAAATTGGTGAAATCGATGAAATTAATTTACATATAATATGTTCCCCAAACCTCAATATAAGCAATATTGGTATTTCCGTTTTTCCAGTTGGTTGTAATTCATTCATAATTTCGAATATTCATAGTCATATCCAATTGAGATGAACCTTTTTATACTCTCGCAACATTCTGAGACCCTCAGGTTTTCAGATGGTCGATCCACAACCACGCCAACTGTTTAAGCGTTTCCGTTAAGCGGAAATTTGTTAAAAGAGTAATCAATTAAATTGTAGGTAATATGAAATTCATGACCTCACTCGTTTTTACTTTGCAGTTTTCTACAAAATTATTCTTATTGAAATATCCATATCATATATGCGAGTTTTCCTTAAACTCCTATAATAACCATGAGCAGATACATACATACTAATTAGATAACACGCTCTAACTTTCTATTACATCTTCTCTTAATCCTAACCAAGCGTAACATCCTCTCTACTTACTGTTAACATTTAGTTGCACATCGCGCCGCGCCTCCTCTCCGGCCCTGCTCCTTACAATGCATGTATACATGCCCTGATCACGGGTCGGTTCGACATCCTTGATGACAAGATAGCCGCCCTGCTGCACTGGTGTCATCAAGTAGTGTGTGTCTGCAAATAGAAAATAGAGCCCAATAAAGTACCGGCAAAGCAAAAAGCATATGTGTGTGTACACATAAACGGTGGGAATACAAACAGTAAGTGCTAAACTGGAGCTGACAAATAAAGTGTAGTGAAAAAAAGAAAAACTCGCGCTCGTAAAGTTATGGTAGTGAATGTTAAAACTATCACATTGGAAACTGCATTTGCTCACAAAATCCTGAACAAACGGACAGCAGTATTGAAAACAAAAGCCCGGAGGGACGATGTGCTGAACCAACAAAGGCAAAAATTAGATTGCGAAAGCGTTAATGCATTATTGCACTGCTTTAACACTCCGTGCTGTCACTTTTCTTTAAACCTTGGCGTTTTTACTGTTTGTCACTACACTTTGTTAGTATCTTTGCTGCATATGATGTACATAGCAACACTATAACTATACAATGTACATGTATTGTATCTACTATATGGATGTGCACGTTCGACGACAATTTGTCTTACTTGATGTCAATTCCTGATGTCCTTTCTCCCATCTAATTTGTTCGATTGGATAACCGGAAAATGGACAATGAACAATTATATCTTCGCCGGCGACAGCTTTTATGGGGCCAATGGCGCGTACATATGGCGGACCTGTAAGATAAAGAAATGGGAATAAGAAATGTTATTAAGTATGTTGCAGAATATATTTTAATTATTAATATATTATAAAAAGTATATATCATGTTTTCTCCAAGGTAAACTACTGAATCGATTGTAGTAAAATTAGGACATTGTGACCAGTTTGGTACAACTTAAAAGATAGGATAAGTAATATTTCAATCATTTTAAAAGTAAAACAATTAAAAATAACAACAATATATATGTATATTTCTAAATAATATTTTCACTGAAATGAATAGTTTATTACAATAGTATTTAATGTATATCATAGCCACAGCAACGTGTGTATGGTATATATGCATGTAGTATTATCTAGGGAGTATTCACGGTCATATCCTTCAGTTATGCGATTAATATTTCGTACTGATTTCTAGGTGCTTTCGAGGTAACTCCAGAGCATAATAAAATTTCACAAACACTCGCAACTGAAACCCCTACACATTTTGAGGCATCTCTATTCGTGTATTGTGCAGGGCTTGCTGGAACACGGTTATTTTTCAAACATTTTAAAATTACATACTCCTTGAAATCACATGACGCTGAAATTAATACACCACTTGTACATGAAATTTTGAATAAGCTGTGGCATACTTACGTTATATATACACTCAGAAGAATCCTTTTTCAAAGATATAATAAAGTTGTCTCATAAAAAAACATTCAAAATATTTTTCTTGAAATTTCTTAAGACAAAATTTTGTATGTGTGCTAAAATTATTAACATTTTGCACCGAAGGTTTCTTACTAAATGTATTTTTGATAACACAATAAGGCTTTCTTCAATCAGCATATTGTCTTCCAGGACAAAAGCTAGGTAGAGATTGCATTTGATTGCATTTCCATCAAGTTGATTCAGCGCAACAACCCGTCGGTTGTCGTCCAACATTTGTTTAGCGGCATAATTGTAGACGCAAGGCATTTCACTAATTTACATTCATTGCTAGAATGCGCATATCAATAATTTATGCATGCTTTTATGTGTCCCTAGCAGATTAGTAAACACGCCAAACTTACATACACAGATGTTAGTGCAAATGCAATGCAAATAATGCGAAATTCGCAATTAGTTTACACATGTACATACATATATTCATATAAGCACACACACTCGCACTTACACAATGAGAATAATACACGCCTGTGTTGTAGCTCGGTAAGTTTGTTTGGTATTTAGTTCTTACACATAAATACATACATATGTACTAACGCATGTACAATGAAGCTAAAACCATAGCAGCATTCAGCAGCAATAAATTATGAGCGCCACCAATGCACACACAATCTCTGTTGTCATAAAATATGCATTTTCTGCTGTACGTATTTGCTTAAAGCCGCAGTTGCCAGGAGATGTGCATTATCTGCTTAAGTACACTAACACACACTCTCACGCATGAGAAATAATGGCTTGTACATAAACAATTGTTTCCCGCTTCGTCCGACAAATAATGAGCTTTGCACTGATATACAATATATGCATGAGCATGTATGCGTGTGCTATGTGCGTGTGGTGGTTGTTGTTGTTATCGCCAAAATGTTCACTTCACTTGACATAGTCATAGTGGTGAATTGAGCGAAGTTAATCATTATCTTATTAATGCATTACCACGTTTTTAATTATCGCAAATTTGTATTGTGATGAAAATTAGATTGACTAAAAGGATTTGATGTCGGATAATAAGGGAAATTAATTAATCGTAGTGTGGAAATTATATAATTCCTCAAATTGATTTAATTAGTTATCTGAGGCCATTATTAAATTACAGATGAGTTAGTTCCATTTTAAAAGATATATTATGTTTTAATTGGAGATTTTAGCGTTTTGTAAATATGAGATTCGAGTTTTCATTCATTTGTTATTAACGAATGAATCCAATTGTAATATTATATAACTCTCAACCTTTTAAAGAATTTTTCGCCTGGAAAGTAGTTTTCGAAAAGGCTTTCCAACTGGAATTAAATGACAAGATTCCTCCCAAACACAGTTTCTGAATAAAATTTTATTCATGAAGTTAAAGGTTTCTTGCATCTACTGGATACTGGTCTCCACTCAAAACTCGCTTATTTTTACAAAATTTCACCCATATTGATCAAATAAGCTGCTTTTGATTTTGAAATGCGCATTTGCCCAATCAATTCCACATTTCTATATCAGAATATCTTACTATAATTTCTCATCAAACGTGCTTAAAAGTCTTCTCTTCTCCAACATTTAATGAAATGTCAACAGGGAAATCGGCGCTAAAAGAATATGATGAGAAAAGAGAAAACGGCATGTCTAACTTTCCTTTCAAAAAGGATATTAAATTTAGCTTTTGTATAACTTTTAGTTAAATATTTTAAGTTCTTCATATATTTTGAAGTTTAAAAAGTAAGGAAGGGCTAAGTTCGGATGTAACCGAACATTTCATATTATCACAATTTGAAAATATCAAAGGCTGTGAAACATCTACCTTACCTTTAAAAAATCCTGCGAAACAATTCAACATGCATTATTCAAAGAAGCAGATGTAGCAGATACTTAGTTTTATTAATATGTTTTGCGTGTTCGAAATATTAATATTAAAATCAATATTTTTTTTCAAATAAAATAATTCCTGGATCGATATCGCACATTTTCGGCACTAAAACAAACCATAATAACTTTTTTTTTAATAAATGTACTATTTTTTTTTATTGTATAGGAAATTGTATTTTATTTTATATAATTAATTATTTTTAAAAATTGTGGTACGAAAATGATCTCCATGCTCAGCCACGCATGCGACACCTAATTAGAAAATTATTTATTGCGGCCTGAAGTGTTGAAGTCGAGATTTCCTCAATTATTTTTTTAATAGACTGCTTCAAATCAGTCAGATTTATGGTTTTGTGCGCCTCTTTCTTGACATAAGCCTATAAAAAAAGTCTGGTGCAGTCAGTTGATTTTGGGGGCCAGCGGAAAGTGGAGTTTCTTGATATTAATTTTTTTTCAAAATTTCGTTGGAGCTCCGCAATAACCGGTATGGCTATGTGGGCAGTTGATCCATCTGGCTGGCACCAAACGCTATTTAAAGAGATACGTCAAAGTTTTTTAAATATATTTTTTAGTAATTAATCGAAGATTTTTTCTCTCCGATAAATATTTTTGTTTTTACAAACAATTTAAGGCCGAAATTTCGGTGAAAAATCGATTGTTGTTTTTGAGTAACCCCCATTTTACTAAGTCTTAATATATATGTAGTTAAAAGATACAACAATGTGTATACATTTTTGTATCAATAAATTTAGAAGTTTTCTCAGAAAAACTTCTGGAAAATTCACTTTTTTCGGCTTTCTAACTGTATATAACCCCTTATGAAACTGTGCACCACACAGTGACTCGTTCTGGTTAAAGTTCCGTCTCATGGATTATTTCTGGATTTGATTCACTCCATCGATCTTGGATTGCCTGAATTGACGATGCAACAGCCACGATTGTTTCTTGAACACGAACATACGGATCTCGATGGTACGGTCTTCTTGCGATACTTCCAGATTCGGCAAAAATGTTTACCAACCTCATAATGAAAAATTTATAAACCGGGTTAATACTACCCTCTACTACCATATACCACTTATAATACTTTTCGTTATTACACCCAATTTAATGCCGAATATGTCTGGTTCTGAATATGTCGGTCAGTGAGTATTAACATTTTTTTATACTCTCGCAACATGTTTATATATAAAATTGATACAAAATATATTCTCTATGGTCTAGTATAGCTGAGCAAAGTCAAAATTAATATTCTATATCCTCAATATATAATATATATGATTTCCGTTTTTCAACCTGACTTTAAGCCGTATCAAGTTTATAATAAAAAAATTAGCCACTTTGGTCGAGTTAATATCACATTCGTACTTATATACAATATATATATTGTATATCTCACTTCAAGCTGTTTTTTGTTTTTTTATACTCTCGCAACCTGTTGCTACAGAGTATAATAGTTTTGTTCACCTAACGGTTGTTTGTATCACCTAAAACTAATCGAGTTAGATATAGGGTTATGTGTATATAAATGATCAGGATGAAGAGATGAGTTGAAATCCGGGTGACTGTCTGTCCGTCCGTCCGTCCGTGCAAGCTCTAACTTGAGTAAAAATTGAGATATCTTTATGAAACTTGGTACACATGTTTCTTGGTACCGGGAGACGGTTGGTATTGCAGATGACCACTGATCGGACCACTGCCACGCTCACAAAACGCCATTAATAAAAAACAAACAAATTGCCATAACTAAGCTCCGCAATAAGAGTTAAATTTTTTTTTTAAGTGGGCGTGGTCCCGCCCCTAATAGGTTTAATGTGCATATCTCCTAAACCGCTAAAGCTATAATAACCAAATTCACTGGAAGCAAATGTTTTTAGCGCTTCTACCTACAGTGTGGAAATAGTTGAAATCGGGTGGCGCGATAAACCAAGCACTAAACACGCCAGAGACATTAAATTGTATCTCTGGGATGGTATAAGATGACTTTATAGGAGTCGCGTTCAAAATTAGTCAGTGGGCGTGGCACCGCCTACTTTTAAGTGAAAACCCATATGTTGGGATTTGCTTAACCGAGTTCAACCAAATTCGGTGCATAACGTTTTTTTCATATTTCTATGTTATAGTGCGAAAATGGGCGAAATCGGACTACAACCACGCCTGCTTCCCATATAACACCATTTTCAATTCCATCTGATTCTTTCACTTTGAACTATGCATATCAAGCAGCAATGATTATATCGGATTAAAACTTTGCGTGTATAATGCGTTTAAAGTATGCCACCTTGTGACCAAAAATTGTCTAAATCGAACGAAAACTGTTCAAGCCCCTAAGTACTAAGTATGTGGACCCCAGTGCCTATAGTTGACCTTTTACCGAAAATATTAGTCATTCCACAAAGAAATCTCAAACGAGTATACCATTTGACTTTGCGAGAGTATAAAATGTTCGGTTACA